GGAGTTTTACTGCATGCCATAAAACCGCCTCTCAAGTAAAGCTAAAAGTGTCTTTTGGCTGTCTACCTACATTTCCAGTTAGAGCTGGGCCTGTTCCACCCGCAGCTCTCCTCCCCACATCTCCTAACCACTCTCACATCTTCCCTAACAGCAGAAAGGATAATGCTAGAATAATCGAGATGCTGCATTGTCACTTTATGGTTAACTGGTACCTATTTATGTCTGTCGGAGTCCTAGCGTGTCCGTGCTGTAGAAAGCAAACCTCTTTTAAGATTGGGCTAAAGACCTCCATTAGTCTTTTACCCTGATCAAGGCTGTATTATTTCCATGAAAGTCATGGTAACTTTTAAAAGCACAGGGTGCAGAACCTCAACCACCGTGAGTCTGCACTGAGAGGTACCAAGTATCTCTGGTGGTGAGCAATAATAAAGAACCTGCTGGGCCAAGTTAGAGGTGCCCCTTTAACCGCTCCAGCAGAGCACGTGCCTGGAAATAACTGGGGACTCAGGGTCTAATCCCATTTCCCAACCTCTCTCCCGTACCCCGACTAGAGCGTAGGAATGTGGCATGTGTCTAGGGTTGTGTTACACCCCCTTGGAAACCACTAGCCCCCTTCCCTGGTCCATGTGCGGGTAAGAGGGAGCCGCCACCACGCTGGGTGGGTCTCACCCCCTGTCATGGTCCTGTGTGGTGAGTCGGGTTTGCTTCTTGGCTGTGAAATCGTCCTCTGTCTTCAGCCTTTTAGGTGACACCTGGATTCAAACACTGTGTATTTATGTTGCAAGAGATCTTATGTCTTTGTATGTACATAGTCTTTGGGGGGGTGGGGGTGTTATATTGCTTAGTTTTGATTTCACCTTTTAATGTTGTTTAAGAAGGGTACAGAGTACTTATATTTTTTTTAATTTAAAACTTTCTTGGGGTAGACTGGACAAAGAGATCCCAAATTCCCAAGGGCAGGAACACCAGAGGTTTGGCCATTCTGGATTTAACCCCAGAACAAAAGGGATACCAGAAAGCCAGGGATGCCGTGTGCAGGGTGATGAGGCTGGGTTTAGCCTAAGGAAAGGTTTTCTTTTGTTCCCCCTGCCCTACCTGGCCTGTTTTGCTCTCTGAAGTATCCCAGAGCTCTGCAGGGACCCTGTGTCCCTCCTGCCACCATCCCAGTCACACATCCCAAGGGCGATGCGGCGAGGCAGAGGCGATCCCAACTCATTCCATGAAGTTAGCAGCGATAACTGGTGTCACCTCAGTTCCATTTGGCATCCTCGGGGCTGTCTGGGAGCGTTCCCAGCGACGTGCGTGCCCACAGCATCCCTTTGTGCTCCCATAGCATCCCTTTGTGTGCCATGGGGAAAAGCAAGAGATTCATTTTCACCAACAGAAAGCCTGTGGATGGAGATGCTGCAGTTCTCTGGGTGAGCAGAGGCTCAGATAGGGATGGGGATGTTCCTGTAAATATATAGCAGAAGAGAATGAAATTCCAGTGATGTACAAAAAGAATTTAACTCCTAAATCCCACCAAGAGCCCTTCAGTTTGGAGGATAGAGATTTTGTCTATTTTTAATGGATATTTTTCTACTGCTTGGGGTAACCTCATTACCAAAAGTCTCTCTTCTATGGCGAGGGTCAAGTTCAGTAGCACAACTTTAAAGCAAAATTACTCTTTGGGCATTTTAAATGCTTATTTTTTTTATAAGCCTCAAGACAATTTTAACCAATAAAACCTGCCTGTGTATAGAAGCCACGTAAGAGACTAAGTTTAGTGGAAGTTTGAGCAGATGTTAAATAAATCTGGAAAGCTGATACAGAAACCCTCTAACATGGTACCAAGCAGTTGTGTGTGATTCTTTCCCCAGAAAACCAGCATTTTGCCTACTGAAAAACGTGGAGAAATGGGTTTTTTACCTACTGCACCCTGCAGGAGGTTACATCAGTGGCTGTTTTTAAACTCTTATCCAGCTGTACCCCTTTTAAAGTAGGTAGTGTTTTCATCAGGTAGCGAGCTGCATTCTATACAAGGGTAGTTTTGGGGGGAAAGTGGGAAGGGTTGGGACAAGGGGCAGCCCTTTGGTAGCTGATTCAGGCTCCAGCTCAGTGAATTGGTGGAGCAGGTGACTAAAAGGGCGAGAAGGAAACGTGGGTAGTGAAGTACCTGGTTAGGAGCAGGGTAACCTCATGCCCTTTCTCTGCAGCAGGGATGGGCTGGGACTTTACAGCAGCAGGAAGGATTAGCCCTGAGCTTGCAGGGTGGTGATGAAGTGCTGAGTGCTTTCGCCTCTCCTGGAATAGAGGAAGTAAAGGCAGGATGAGTTACCTGGAGCAGCATCTGCTCTGCGGGGCTGACACAGGGAAGGAGCTCACATGGAGCCCAGTGTGGATCTGAGCTTTCTGTGAGGTTAGGGGGGATTTTTGGCTGGGCTTGGGCAGATGGATGCTCACCTGGATATCCACGAGACTCCTGTAAAGCTTGAAAGCTTTTGCTTCCCTTTTGCTTTGGCTCAGATAAAGCAGGGTCTGAAGTGTTCCTAAGTTAAAGAGCAATACTTGAAGCGCTGTAAGACACTCATGTTAACCTGTGATCACAGCTATGCCCTTGGCCGTGGCTGTACAGGGAAGGGTTTCATCCAACACTTGGAGAAGTTTGTGCTCCTTTTTGTCTCAAAGGGGGTGAGCACCAGAGATGTTTGCTGTACAGTCTGATTGTAACTTAGGTGGGACTGTAACCTCACACCAAAACGTTGCCGTGGGATGCTCTGTGAATGTGTTTAAAATGAAGAAGGGAAGATTAAATCCTAACTCTTGATATGAAGGGAAGATCAAATTATTGTATGTAGGGAGAGATGGACAGACTGACGTGCCCAGCCTGTCTCTTCTCTCCGGCAAGAAGCACTGCTTTGTGGATTTAGGATGGCTTTTGTTTCGCTTGGTTGTTCCCATTAGGATGCATTTTCTTCGCACTCCTGGCCTTGTGCTGGCACCTTCTTTGGCCAGAAGCAGCAGGAGAACAGTGTCTTCCACTGTGGTAGCTGCTCCACTGGAGACACTGCCCTCTCCTCCCTGGCAATTCTCTATTTGTTGGTAGTTTGGTCAGGTTGTTATTGGCACTGCTTATTTTAAGTTATATAGAAATGTATATGTGTGAGCACACACAAACAGCAAATTATTGAGCCTTGCAAGAGGAATTTGCCTCTTTCCTTCCCAAAGGCAGAGTAGGAGAAGCTGGTATTCCATCACCCAAGACGATGAGGAGTATGGGGGATGTGGAGATCTCTGGCCTGAAAGCAGCCCTGGGGCAGCCTGTCCCAAAAGGTTTTCGCAGCCTGGGTGCTGCCCTGGCAATCTTATCTCTTATCAGCAAGCCAGGCTATCAGAGATAAGAGGGTGAAGGTCCAAGTGCATGGGAAGGGAGCAGGGAGAGGTGTAAACGAGTGATAAACCCCACAGTTCCCCATGCCAGAGGTGACAGCAGCAAACTAAACTGGCCTGGGGGAATCCTTGGTCCCCCACCTCCCCTCAATCCCCTCCCCTCCCAGCAGATAGAAAGGGAAATACCTTCTTGTGCTTGCTTTGGTAGAACAGCACTCACTGAAGACAAAAAGAGGCAATTCCTGGTCACAGGGGCATTTGGAGTGAGGAAGAGTCATGTTATTGCCACATTCCTGACAAGTCTGGAGTCTTTCTGGCCTGAGGCAAAGAAAATGCATCTTAATGTGGGTGTTGGCTCCGTGCGGGGCAGGGGAGTTAAGTAAAGCCAAAGACTGTTCAGCTGCTAGCAGAAACGAGTGACTCTAGATTCACCTGATGTTGTTCTGTCGTGTTTACAGTATTTATTTTTAGGAATTGACTGCAATGATATTATATATAATAGGCTTCCTTATTTTTGTACTTTTCATACCGTTTTCCTGAGTGTGGTGTTGTACTTCTCAGCTCCCCCTTTGCCATGACTGCTGCTCCTAGTCAGTGACAAATAAAAGAGAGAAAAACAACCAACCAATCCCCCCACGTTCTGGGGTAAGTTGTGATGTGTTTTGGTTTCTGGGCTCCTCTTCCTCCTTAGCTACCCCTGAGGAAGGGCACCTTCACCACTGCCCCATCCCAAAGCCCTCATCCTGCCCGCTGGACTGAAGTTTGGAAGGGATTTGTCCCCTTGCATTGACAGTCCCTCCACAACCAGGAGGGTGCAGGGAGGATCAGGACACTCATTCATATCTGAGAAACAATACCAAGATGAGTTTCATGGAAGCTCTTGCTCCACATTCCACACCCTCACCCCCCTGCAGAGAGGTAGTTCCCCAGCTGCAGGGCAGATGTGTTGGCCAGATGTGTTCACACACAGCAATGGCTTGACCCTGGGAGGCAGCAAAGTGCAAAGGCAGCTCAGGATCTGGACCAAAACGGGTGGTGCTGAGCCCTGTGCACAAAGCAGGAGCCCTGTGGAGCACAACCCACCACCAAAGCTTAAATTTCAGCCTTTATATTCCACAAAAACCAGGGAGTTGTTTAAAACCAACCTCGGTTTTAGGTACCAGTTCTGCCATTAACCAGCAGCACAAACTCCTTTCCACTCAACCCATGACTTGGCTTTAAAGGCTTGGTATTTCTAGTTAAACCCAAGAAAACTGCTTACTAAAGCATCTAAGTACCAAGTTTGATGCTGCAGCAGGTGAATGCCTTAAAATCCTTCTGCTTCCTGCTTCTGAAGTACGGCACAAGGCAAGATTACACAGAGGTGCATCCGAGGGCTGAATCCAATAGGAAAAGCTATTCATGGCAGAAAAGGGTAGACATGGGGGAGTATTCCACTTGAAGTCCTTTATTGACAAGTTGCCCCATTTTTCCATCTTGCCTAACACGTTTTAATCTTTGTTATAAAAGTACAAATGGGTTTCTGCTTTTCTGACATAAAAAAAAACAAATAGCCTAAAGAGGTAAAATTCTCCCTTTGAATTCAAAACTGCAACAGAGAAACATAAAACTCAACACATACAAAGCAAGGCTACAGTGTACCTCTTACACTTGACTCATTCATCAAAACCCAGAAGGAATCCCTTCTTCCCAGCTCTTCCTTTGAATGCTGTGACCGTGCTCAAGTGAAGTGAGGTTTGGGTTAACACTTACAACTCCAAGGCACTCAAAGGTCACAGGTTCCTGAGCTAAACCAGGGTGTAATCCCAGAAGAACAGTTAAAACAAGTCACAAAAAGCAACATTTAAACACTGGTATTTGGTGTGAGCAGAGTAAGCTGCTGTTTGAGACTGAAATGCTGCTTGGTACATTAGAGTGCTTTCAGTCCACGGAAAACAAATAATTCACTTATGAACCTCCTCAATAGCAAATTCCCATGCTAAAAAAATGAAATATATGCTGCAATGTTAAAAAGAAGCCCAAGAACAAGAAAAATAAACGTGGGTGAGGGGCAATAAAGGCTTAAAACCAAGGTCTGCGAATCTCTACAGTTAAATAACTAACAGGATGTACAGGCAACACTTCGACAGACATAGGTGACCCTAATGGAAAAGGAGCACAAAAGTAAGTAACACGGATCTGGTATTAAATCCCCCCAAAACGTGGTGACAAAACCTACACATCCTACAATGTGAGCTCAGGATTTAACAGGTCCGTTTATAAGCTGACATTCACAGAAATTCCCTGTTTCCAATTTGGCTCAGTTTTTGCCTGAAGTGTAACATTCCTTAAACCTGGAATGGCCCCTGTCTGAAGATGCAGAAGAGAAATAAATAAAAAAGAACGGGAGAACTAGTTTTGGTCCTATCTAATTTCTGCTCTTCTCTTCAGAGGTGCATAGGAGGATACTAAGGCCATGTATCTTTGCCACAGTGTAAGGCCTTTGTCGGTGCCAAGCTCTGTGCGTCAGCAGGGCGTTTAATGGGAAGCAGGCATGCAGAGTTATAGAAGTGCTACTGGATTCCACCAAAGAGGTCTCCCAAATGATCTGGCAGTGCCTCACTGCTTCTCTGGTGATGTGTACAAGAAGTTACAGCAGATATAGACTGGGAAGATCAGGAGTCTACTGTCCAAATACATCACTACCTCCTCCTGCAAAGCAAACACAGGGGAATGTGCACAGTAAGCGATGCTCTTAAAAGTACATCAAAAGGAAAACCAGATCAATGACAATATTCCATATATTTTAATTAACTACATATCAAAAAGAAGATAAAAAAATCACCCAAGACAGTAGTTCACCTTCAGCAGATGTTTTATGTTATTAACACTGATAAGATACTCTTAACATGCTTATAACCCTCTGCCCCAGTGCTGCACCAAAGATAAGAAGCACACGAAATGGCTGAGCAAACTTTCTCTTCAAGCACACTGGAGACTTTTCTGCCTCTTATCAGTTCCCAGAGGTTTAACCACCCAGGCAACCCAGAGCAGTGTGTACTTCAAAGCAGGTTACAGCTTTCTGGTAGGAAATGCTGGGTTTTACCCTACAAACTGGGTTTGGGGCAGCAAAACTGTGTGTGCCATCCCTACCGTAGGATAAAGCTTTGAGGAGAAGTCTTCTATGTACTCATGATGTATTTACCACTGCTGATGAGGATGGAAAAGACTTGGTGATCAAGTCTTTCACATCCCTTATACAATTCTGCTGTCACCAGTGGGTAGAAAAGGGCAAGTGCTCTTAAGAAAACTCTTCTCTGAGGCTTTGTCCTGCCTTTGGCTGGGACAGAGTTAATTTTCTTCCTAAAGTGCTGTGTTTTGGCTGTAGTCTGAGAATAATGCTGACACCACAGGCTTTCATCTCATTTTCACAATAGTAATTAATCAATAAATGCCAGCCTTGAACAATATGCAGACACTCTTTTAACTCTTCAGCTTCCAATACAAGAGAGTCTTCAAACCCCAAATTCACCTCTAAGTAAGCAGGAGTCTGATGGACATATTATTCAGTGCTGGAAGTCTGGGAAAGCAAGGAATAGCGCAGCAGAACACTACACTGGCAGCAGACAGCTTCAGCAGCAACACGGGACTATCATTATCAACACTAATGAAACCCATGCTATCCTACTCTAGTTACACTTCACACATCAGCTTCATATCCACTACCTATAAAAGGAAACCTGAAATTCCACATAAGCAACAGCTCTTCAAAAGCCTCGTGGACTTCTCAGCATTTTTGTCATGCTTTGGACTCCACAATTCAAGTTCAACAGCTCCAAAACACACAAACATACCTGGTCCTTCTCAAAGCTTAGGATCTGATACCCTGTTGTTATACTGCGAGTAACTCTTCCAGTGCTGTCGAAAGAGGCAAGATGTAACCTAGGGATGTAACAACAGGTAAATTACTTAAGTCTGCCATAACTTAAGTTTTTCCAGCACCAAGAGTTTCTCCCAAGGAGACAGAACACCATTTTCAACCCTAACTGACTTGGAGGCAGCAAAACTGCAAGCACAGATGGAAAATGTTGTTATGATTAAGACATTCTGGCATACACACAGGGTCTGCTTCTTGGCTACTGCTTACCTGAAGGCTATGCTTCTCCGAGGCTGCAGACTGACTGATCCACTGCATGGCTGACTCAGTGTATTCCGTTTAAAGGTGATGCAACTATTTGTGTAAGTAACAAGGAGGTCAAAGCCAAAGCTGAACCCAGTCCAGCGCCAGCAGTACTGGAGAAAAGAAGGGAAAGAAACCCAAACAAACCAGTCTGAGTATTGGCTACAACACGAATGATAAGCACCACTTCTCCAACAGAAGACCTAAGGTACAAGTTCTTCCCTGTGAGGGTGCTGAGGCGCTGGCACAGGGTGCCCAGAGAAGCTGTGGCTGCCTCACCCCTGGCAGTGTTCAAGGCCAGGTTGGACACAGGGGCTTGGAGCAAGCTGCGCCAGTGGAAGGGGTCCCTGCCTGCGGCAGGGGTTGGAGCTGGAGGAGCTTTAAGGTCCCTTCCAACCCAACCCATTCTACTATTCTATGATTTCTGAGTAGCACTTAACTACAGGTCTTATCCATGCCTAAAGCACTCCTTGGAGTATAAAATCCTTAGGATAAGCAACTTCAGGAAGGAAAAAATTCAGGGTTTTTCACAGGCCCTACCACCTAAAGGCACATATATATGGGTATGGAACACATAGGGCTTCTGGCTGTGACTATTACACATTTTTATCCAGAAAACTTCATTTCCCAGCTAAAAATGTCTTTTTCATCAGGGATCAGAGCTACATTTTAACTAACTCTGTAATTTACAGATCTCAAATGACAAGCCATGGCTCCATTCCCTCCTTTCACACCCTAAAGTTTTCCCCAGACATGGCCTTGCTTGCAGCCTATGAGCACAATTAAACCACTAATTCCTTATTCATCACAAAGACAGCAAAGTGCTTTCATCCTTTTAGGGAGAACAAACTCATTTCTCGCACGTATCATCTCCACCACATCGTTTTGATGCAGTTTGACAATTAAGAGCAACATGTTTTGAAAACAGCCAACATGTCCAAGCCACGTCAGTGGTGCTCAGTGAGCCACGTGCCACACTTACATCACCATCCTCGGCGAGCTTTCGGCCGCACCTCATGCTGTTTCCTTCCAGCTCCTCTTTATTTATTTCTTGAGGCCTACAAAAAGAAAAGGGCATCTTTAAGGACACTTGAACAGCTTTGGATGGAATTTCAACGTGGGAAAGGTGAATAGACCTGAGCAAACTGCTCTGACCACACAACTGACCCTTCTTTGAGCAGAGGTTAGACCAGGCAACCTTTCAGGATCCCTTCCAAGCCAAATTGTCCCATGAACACCCAACTGCTCTACAAAACTGGCCTATAAACCAGGCTGGGACACCTCAGGGAGAATCACAGAACAGTCTGGGTTGGAAGGGACCTTCAAAGCTCATCCAGCTGCCTGCAATGAGCAGGGACATCTTCGACTAGATCAGGGTGTGCAGAACCACATCCAGCCTGGTCTCAGATATCTCCAGGGATGAGGCATCCACCACCTCTCTGGGCAATCTATGTCAGTGTTTTACCACCCTCATTGTAAAGAATTTCTTCCTCACACCCAGCCTAAATCCCCCTCTTTTAGTTTAAAACCATCACACCTCGCCCTGTCACAACAAACCAGTCTTTTCCCATCTTTTCCTTTTAAGAACTGAAAGGCCACAACAGGGTTTCCCTGGAGTCTTCTCCTCCATGCTGAACAACTCCAACTCTCTCAGCTGTGAGAGGCAGGAGTTTTACAGAAGAACCTTTCCAGATACGAAAACAATAGCTGTTGCAATGAAATACATAATCCAAGCCCTAAAGTAAGTCCTTTTTAAACGCAGTAGGTACAGTTTGTACCTCGCAGTTACTAGGTGCAGACATAAGAGTGCTGCAGCCAAGGAACCCATGCAGAACAGCAGCATGAAGCAGCACCCACAGAGACACCAGATGATTTCTCAAGTACCTGGTTATGCAACTTGTCTAAAGCAAGTTTACACCCAAGGATCACAAAGTGCCACAAGCCTCTTGGTTCTGTCATCCTCTATCAACATGAACTTGTTTCACCCGAGTTGCCAGTGGCGTTTCAAGGTGTAGCAAAGCCTTGCAGAGCCAGTGTAAGTCAAATCAGCCCCAGTTTTCCAGTTGCTCACTTCACTTCAGACAGGATTACATCAGCAACCAAAGAAGCACTGACTGCCAGAAAGCCTTCACGTTACACTGAGGATGAACACTTAAACTGAGTATTACAAATCACAATGAAAGGCAATATCCCCCCCACACTAAACTACAAACCTGCAATGTCAAAAAATACACTTCGAGCTAGAGAAGCAAGAAGGAGCAGCAGCTCTTCTCTTCCTGCTGGACACACACCCCACTTGTAGCTACAGCTTTTACAAACTCAGTCTGGAGTCTTTTCACCCCCTGTTTCTGTACAAACCCATCCTGGAAGATGAAGGATTGTATGAAATTAAGCAAATCATACTAACCAAATTCATCCCAAACTCTCCTGTCTGCTCCTTCCACATCTTCTAGCTGAACTGGTTATGTAGCCTAAACGCAGCAATGGTGATAAATGGTGATATTTCTGTTCAGTCCCAACTTTCACAAGCATCAGTAGGTAATGCTCAACCAGACAGCTGTATTCCCCTCACTCAATCCCTTGAGAAGCCTCAGAAGATACAGGATTTCCAGCTCTAACCACTTCCATTGGCCTACCATATGCTTAGAGAACAGGCAAGTGATTCTATTTCATTCTTAAACACTGCCAAAGTGACTATTAGAGTAGAGAATCCAATCACAGCCTTGAAAGATCTGTCTGGCATCTGGTACAGATGTGTAGCTATGAAAAAAGACAGATCCACTTGAGCACATCAAGTAAACCTTGAGCAGCTGCAGCCCAAAGCCAAAACCTCCAGTGTCACACTAAAACCTCCTCAGATTCTGAAGAGCTATAAAACATTTAGTCCTTTTAAATGCAAACTACATGAAGGAGAAGAGAAACGTTCACTTTTCCTCTCTACAGTTATCAAAGAGGAAACCACACTGCACATTTCAAAGCAACACTGCTTTTCCTGTTGGCAGTCCTAGAACAAGCAGGTACAATGATGCTGTGCACCAGGGTGGGATGTGGGATGTAAGAACAGAGCTTACTCCAGCTTGCTGGGAGCCAGACTTCACGTTCTGTTCAGCTTACCAAGTCTGCATCCTTATCTCTAAGGGGAAAAATGTGTTAAGATAATCAACAAGAGGCAGTAAATGCAAGAGATAGGGCGGCAGATCTGGATAACAGCATGGTCTAATAAAACCTCATTTTTTTCAACCACAGGTTGCTCGAATGCCCAAAGTATTTGCTTTAATACAATGGAACAGTTCAAGCCTTCCCTTCTAAGACACAAGTGAGGTGGCACTGCAGCTTGGCAGAATACAGAGAAAGCATCTCAGGACTGCAATAAGAGACTGCATGCTATGGACTAGGAACATTAGAGCTGAGCTGCACACAGCTACAGGGAAGTGCTACACACACAGGTGCCTGCACTCCCACTACCTCCCATGCAACTCGAGAGAACACCATGTCCCAAGACAACCCATTATCGACTGTTAAACAGTAACCTGCATGTCACCTTGAACCAGTAAGTTTGCAAACTACTGAAGTCAGAAGCAAAGACATACTGAGAAGAAACACTACATCCCTCCCATTTGTTACCATTGCTATTGAGGAAAGCCCTTGGCAATGAAGGCCAGAATAAGAGGTTTGGGCAAACACAGTCTATTGTTAAGCACAACCTTCCCTAGCTGATATTTTCAGATTTAGCTGTCTTAAACATGAAGAAAATCCCATACTGCAAGAGAGAAAACTGGACAAGCAAAAGCAGCTTTGATGACTATGCTAATCCTCACTTCCATGTTAACTGTGGCTCCCATATGAGCTAGAAGTAACACACAACGTCCAATCGCCTACTGCTAAATCCATCAACAACAGCATTACAAGCAAAGTCTTCCCAAGAGAACAATAGTACCAGAAACAAGCTGTGACCACCCGACATGGATCTTTAGGAGCTGGAAGGATGATACTCCTTTTCTGGGCCCCTCACTACACGAGAGATACTGAGGTGTTGGAGCAGGTCCAGAGAAGGGCAACTTGCCAGACAAGTGGCAGCCTGGAGAAGAGAAGGCTCCTTAAGGGGAGACCTCAGAACAGCTCCAGTGCCTAAAGGGGCTGCAGGAAAGCTGGAGAGGGGCTTTGGACAAGGGCCTGTAGGGACAGGCCAAGGGGAATGGCTTTAACCTGCCAGGGGGGGGGCCGAGATGAGCTCTTAGGCAGAAGTTCTTTCCTGTGAGGGTACTGAGGCGCTGGCACAGGGTGCCCAGAGAAGCTGTGGCTGCCCCATCCCTGGCAGTGTTCAAGGCCAGGTTGGACACAGGGCCTTGGAGCAAGCTGCTCTAGTGGAAGGGGTCCCTGCCCATGGCAGGGGGCTGGGACTGGATGAGCTTTAAGGTCCCTTCCAACCCAAACAATTCTATGATCTTCAGAGCAGCAAATGCTGGGCTAACAGAAGCGATGGCGGAACACAGAGACGCTGGTTTATGGGTTTTTGCAAGGTAACAAACATTTTGCAGCTTCCTGACGTGAGGCTCCTCCTCCACAAGGCACACTAAGAACTAGGAAGAGAAGACAAAGGCAGGAAACACTCCCTCAGCTGCATCTTGCCACAGTTTTGGTATTTATTTTGTAAGAGATCATGGGACCTGGCTCAATGCAAGGCACAGAAATGAAGCAGAAGGAAGGCAAACAGTTTGCAATCACATGCACACATGTAACATAACCACCATGCCTTGCTGCCCAAGCCACTGCCACTTCTGGGGGGACACAGGCTCACATTTACACACACACAGACACCAGTGAGGGTGTTACACAAAGCACAGCTCCAGGCACGTCTGTGAAAGGACACAGAAATGACATGTGTGCTGACAGCTGCCATGGAAACTCCTTAATGGCAATGCCACCATGGAATTTTCCTCAATGGCAATGGCAATGCCACCATGGAATTTTCCTCAATGGCAATGCCACCATGGAATTTTCCTTAATGGCAATGCCACCATGGAATTTTCCTCAATGGCAATACCACCATGGAATTTTCCTCAATGGCAATACCACCATGGAATATCCTCAGTGGCAATGCAATGTCACCACAGTGCAGCATGTGGTTTAGGAAGGAGGAAAGATGGGATATAAAATAGGATTATAGAGAGAACAGCATCTTAGCAGTGGAGAAGGATGCAGTAGCTGGGACAAGCTGGAGGCACTGACAATGAAGAGTGGTATCAAACTTAAACACTGGCTGGGCAAAAGGCTGTGATATTAGAAGGGAACAAGGCAAAGAGGTCCCAGGGTGCCAAGCCCTGCTGGGTGCTGGGCCCTTGCTCGCTGCCTGAGAGAGGCAGAACAAAGGTTAGTGTGGAGTTATCCCTGCCTAAACCAAAATGACACATTGACTTCTACACCAGTACAGTTACATTGCACCACAACCTCTTGTCCACCCAGCCCAGGGAGGGAAGAAGCAGGACAGAAGAGGCTTCTCTGTCGGCAGTACTTCTAAAGTCATCTTTAACATGGAAGGCTGAAGTACTGCTTCACAGCCTTGAAATGTATATCAAGGCAATGTAGCACTGAAAAGCATTAACCAACATAAAAGAAAACACAGAAGATCCCTCCCAGCGTTTACCTCTGGTTGCATTACTCAAGTTTTCCAGAGTTCTGCTATTAAAAGGTAAGGAGATCAGCCAGCCCAAGGGAACAGACAGCTCCCGAGGGAGCAACAGAGTTTAAAACCACTGAAGTCCCCTTGCCCCTGCTCCTCTTAATCTCCAGAAGTTAAGCATGTCAGATTTGATAGGAGAGGAAGGTTTCTAATTTAAGAAAGAAAGAAAGGAAAGCCTGTAATATACCTACCCAATATCATTCTCTTGCTCTACTCTGAGCATGGCAAACCACAGCTGTTTGTAAACAGGGGACAGCCATTCTAAAATTAAAAACAATAACAGGATAAATAAGTTTGGTGTTGTCTCTGGAGCTGGGAATGGGACATTCATGAACAGTTACATGGAGAAATAAAATCACAGTGAAATAATAAGGTTACACTTATTGACCAGTGCAAACCCACCACCTGGTAACACACTTGTGTTATTGATAAAAGGTTCAAGAAGGCAAAGTGCACTTGAGTCACAACAGCCCCATGCAATGCTCCAAGCCTGGGGAAGAGCAGCCGAAGAGCTGCTCATGGGGAAGGAGCTGGGGGTGCTGATTGATGGAGCTGAGCATGAGGAGCTTGTGCCCAGGCAGCCCCCAGCATCCTGGCCTGGATCAGCACCAGTGCGGCAGCAGGGCCAAGGCAGGGATTGTGCCCCTGCACTGGGCACTGGTGAGGCTGCACCTCGAGTCCTGTGCTCAGCTCTGGGGCCCTCACTGCAACAGAAACATTGAGGTGCTGGAGGGGAGTCAGAGAAGGGCAACAGAGCTGGTGCAGGGCCTGGAGCACAGGGGTGATAGGGAACAGCTGAGTGACCTGGGGGGTTCAGATGCAGAAGGGAAGGCTCAGGGGGGACCTGATCACTCCCTACAACTGCCTGACAGGAGGATGGAGCCAGGAGGGGCTGGGCTCTGCTCCCAAGGAACTGTGTAGATGAGGCCCTCAGTGCCATGGGTTAGTGGTGGCCTCGGCAGTGCTGGGGAACAGTTGAACTTGATGAGCTTAAAGCTCTTTTCCAACCTGGATGAGTCTATGATTCCGTGATACAACATACAAACAGCTAACACTAAATAACCCAGCACTGTATTCATCTGATCAAGCATTCACGATTGCCAGAAGTGATGCAGCCCAACACATCTTCTTGGTGAGCAAAGCTCTGTTAAGCCAAGGACCTTGTTAAAAGCCCCTGGGAAAAGAGGCTGTTTTCTGAATCCTCAGCAGAATTCTGCCTGAGCTAAACAAGAAGAAAACAGAAATAGAGAAAACAGTGACTTATAATGGATATGGTGGAAACAAACAGAAATTGTCTCCTACCAGGAATAAAGATAAATCACATCCTCCTCTGACAGCACCATGAAGATTTTATTGGCTGTATTAATGTAACAGTTGTAACCAAGGGATAAAGCAGAACAAAACCTCATAACTTAAAGTCAGTTATACAAAAGGAATGACAGGCCAGCAAAAGCACAGCAAGTCCTTCTTGGGCAAGCAAGGGGGCAAGTATGCAAGGTCATGTTCCAGAACAAACTCTATGGAGGAATGGATGAGAGGGACAGTGAGAACCACAGCTCCCACAAAAACAAGAGGTTGTTGATGAATATGATAGAAGGGAGAAGAAGTGAGATTGTCTTAGAAGACCCAGATGCAAACTTGACAACTGACTAATTGCTAAGATTCAGACTGTGAAAGGGCCAAAATGGGAATTAACCAAAGCACAAGTATAAAAAATGAACTAAGGAAAACTACACAGGTAAAGAATAGAGAATGGAGGAAAGGATCTTCTCTATTTCTGTTTCATGCAGCATATTTCAACTGTTAATTTGCAAACATTAAGAGAGAAAATACTGCTTAGGAAACACTGAGAAGTTACCAAGTAAAACAGAACAATGCACACCTGGCTTTCAGACAGACACATTTCTGTCTCTTACATCTTTCCTATTCAAACAAGAACACTCAGTTGCCTCCTGCAGGTCCTGTGTACGCACAGGGTATAAAAGAAATGAATAATTACACCATTCCCTTCAACTATTCCTCCTCAACAGGAAATAATCCACAATTCTCCTGTCTCATCAGTAAATTAGGCTCTAAAAGAATCATTCCCACCAAGTTATCTTCTGGTTTATTACAGAATGAAGATGCATTTGCACTTGGATTATGATCCGTACCAATCTAAATCTTAAGTAAGGTGGATTGTATTCAGTTTATACATCACTTAAGCATGTAAAATACCACATAGCAAAAATCAGATCTGCTCTGCCGGGGTTTTTAGGCATCACCTCAAATACTGTCACTTGCTTGAGGACAAAACCTGCCCCATCTACTGGCAATAACGGCGCAGGCTGCTCACACACACTTCACCCGGGCTGGATGCGGTGTCTAATGCTAGGCCTCCACCTACTGTTCAGAGAACGCATTTCAACAGACATTTTGAGCGTAGAATAACCCAGTTCCTTTGTACTTCACTGTGTCAGAACTAGTGCAGAAGAGTCTCTTCTCCATCCGTTAAGGTGTTAATTTAAACCAAAGCATGGAAAACCAGTACATTTAAGCAGCAGAAATTGTTCCCCTTCACTCAGGAGACAGAATTCTGGTGAGGAAAGGATCTTATCCCCATCATCAAGAGCTGTAATTCAGCTTCAAAGTGTGAGAGAGAGCTGCTCCAGGTTATTCATTCATCTCCAAAGAGCAACTAAACCATTATTTCTAGCAGAGACAGGATACAGCAGTACAAGAAAGGCAAATCTGTGATGCTCACTGTGTCATGTTAACAGTCAGGAAAGTGTTTCAACAGCATCTAACAACCTGAGCAGGCTTCACAAGAAACACCCTGACAAGTCTGGTTTAGCATTGTATCACCATCGTGCTGACATCCATGGCAGCATGAAGGAAAAAGCCAGTATGAGATGAAGAAAAACCATTTTCATTTTACAGGGAGACAGCAGTGGAACTCAAAGATAGGTTAAGTATTAATGTATGGCCAAAGGGACACCCCAAGGCTACACGTATGGACAAGAACACAGATGTCAAGAATGATAAACAGCTAATAAAAGCAGTCTTAATTTACATTTGGGAATTGCACCTATAAGGAGACATCACTGAGACACAGGTGAATGGACAGTTACAGTGCAGAGAGATGTGCTTAAAGTCAACCAAAGTACACGAGAGCCAGGAACAAAACCTGCCAGAGTCAAGATGCAAAATTCAGCACCAAGATTCAATTATGATATAGGAACAATGAACAGAGGGAAATATGGAGCAAGGATATCAGGAACCACATTCAAAGGCAGAACATGGGAAGTCCAAACCCTGTTACACAGAGCATAGCTAACTCAGGGGAGGGGAGGGGAAAAAAACCAAACCCACAGAAACCCCAAAACAGAAAGAGAAAAAAGGGCAGGTTTCCATGACAAAAGACATGAATGATAGAAGGAAAACATTTTCAAGTGAGAGCCCAACTTGGTAGCTCACTTCCAGACTTACTCATCTCTCAGCAGCTGGGCTTACACAGCTTCTGAGCAGAGAACAAAGCTGCTCTGTGAACTCAGACTTCAGCAGCCAGCTGAGAATGGGGACTTTTATTGTTCAGTGATAATGTGATGTTAATAGCAGTAATCTGTAACAGTGTGAAATGACATTTATAGGCTCCTTTAAGTTGGAAAAGATGTTTAAGATCAACTCCAACCATTAACCCAGCACTGGCAAGGCCACCACTAATGCATGGCACTAAGGGCCTCATCTCCATGGTGTGTGAACACTTGCAAGGGACGGTGACTGCAGCCCTGCCCTGGGCAGCCTGTTCCAATGCCTGAGCACCCTCTGGGGAAGGAATTGTTCCTCAGCTCCATCTAAACCTGCCCTGGTGCAGCTTGAGGCTGTTTCCTCTTGTCCCATCCCTTGTTCCTTGGGAGCAGAGCCCAGCCCCTCCTGGCTCCATCCTCCTGTCAGGCAGTTGTAGGGAGTGATCAGGTCCCCACTGAGCCTTCTCCAGACTAAAACCCCAGGTCCCTCAGCCATTCCCCACCACACTTGTGCTCCTGCACCAGCTCTGGTGCCCTTCTCTGGCCCTGCTCCAGCACCTCAATGTCTCTGTTGTAGTGAGGGGCCCAGAGCTGAACACAGGATCTGAAGTGCAGCCTCACCAGTGCCCAGCATTCACTAACCTGAGGGTATGAGGGAATCTCTCTCAAGAATTCTGGCCGATGCCAAGTCACTGATGATATGCTGTAACCTCAAGTGTGTGAACACTGACAGGAACTGATTCCCCTCTTCTGATTCCAGGAATGCAATGTCACTGTCAAAATCTGCAAGACACAGCACCTGTATTACAGTTTGTTTTCCAGACCCTATTTGTATTTGAGATTGAGTTTTAAGCCATTGAACAGAGAAAGTTATTATGAACAGGCAAACCACCTTCTGCAGCTGAAATGACGAAACCACTTGCATCCAAATCCTTTCAGCAATGTTAAAGCAAACTTTTCCCTTTCTGAATTCCATTAGTGCCTTCTAGTGAGAAGGCAACAAAAGGTTAATCTAATGGAACAACAACAAGAGCAACAAAGCAAAACCAGCGACTATCTCTGCTCACGTGAAAACATGTGGACAAAGCAGTGAAAAAGCTATTGCTGTTGAGAATCTGATGCTGGGCAGTGCTGGCAGGGACAAGCCTTCCCAGAGAAAACAGAGAAAGCCTGCAAGTGGAGGAAGACCTATTTCACTCCAAACCCACATCTTCCCCAATCCAAGGCCATGGCAATTACTCCTACCTTTCCTACGCTCAGCAAACCAGGCATCAGCTTCGCCTAAGAGATGCTTCAAAGACCCATTCCAAGAAGGCACGAGCTGAAGGAACATCCACTAGGTAAAACAAACAGCCTCTAGTGAGCGAATTGAAGCTCTCAAGTAAGGAACACAAGTGGTGTTGAAGGGACACTTTCATCATGCATTCATTCCTACAAAGATTCTGACACTTTTGCACAGTACCTTTTTGAGCATGGTGTACACATCCATCTCCACCTGCATTACAAAGAGGTTTGAAGAGCTGACCAGCTGTTTCATGAGGTTTATGCTGAAAACAAGCAAGTAAGATCATAAAATCATAAGAGTTCTATGAGACAATCTAGACAAAACCAAGCGAGCTAGCTAGGTGACAAGCAACCACCAACAGCCTAAGAAGTTATTTGTAGTGAGCTGTATACTTTGGAAGGAATTGTACTTCATGACTGGAAGTTAACTGAAGCCTCCATACCTGATTCCTTTGAAGAGTTCCACACTCTGGTGAATCATCATGTTATTCAAGAGCCATTCAAGGCACCTACATTAAAAAGAAGGAGTTAGGACCTGCATTTTTAATTACATATGTCAACATTCCTGCAAGAGCTGCTCAGGCTCACGCAGCCTAGCTATGTACCACATAACCCCCAGGCAGGAGGGCATAAAAACATGACAAAGTATTTAAAACCCATGAAGTTTACCATCAATTTTTCCAACTTTTTCTAAAACTCTCAAAAGTTGCATTTAGTTTCTCTCAGGGTAGAATGAAAGCAAAATTCAAAGTCCTAATAATGCCACAAAAAGGTCTGAGAACATAGGAATTCACAGCAGAAGGAAGCAGTTAGGACTGACCTCAGCATTCTGCTCCCCAGTGTGTAGTTATCCACCCTATTTAAATAAAGCTAAGCTTAGGTTGTGCACGTTAAAGCAGCTTTGTGAGAGAACAGTCAATGATCAGAAGCATTATTTCACTGTTACACTGAAGCCTAATATACTTCAGTAATCCATTTATTCACAGCGAAAGCCAATCCATCTATGCTCATCTACAATTTTAAGGTTATCGATTCTAGTAGAAACTGGAAAACCAAATAGGACAAGCAAAGCCCAAGTCAGAGAGCTTTAAACCAGTAACAGTTAACTTGGGTGTCATCCTCCTGACTGTAAATTCACACTTTAAAATAGCAATGGACAAAGCAGCTTGGAGAAATCAAGTCTTACTTTTTCTTCACCGAGTCTAAGCCGTATGTCTCCGCTGCCTTATAATAACCACACACAGTTTGGGCATTAATGGTTTCCTTCATTGTTTCACCACACTGCTGGATTAAGCCATCCTGCAGGGGAGGAAAAACAATGCAAAGTTTACATTTCCCAACAGGAAGTGTCAAAGATTGGGCAGTTCATACAGATTTCCATGCCTCAACAGTTACAAAAGCCACACATGCTACAGGGACCAGTACCCAAAATACTAAGCCAACATTCCTCAGAAATAGAGATTTTTCTCAAGAATACACCATGTGAAAGACAAGCTTAATGAACACCTTCAGGGCAGAACAAATGAGCTGTTAAAACACGTTTTAATCTACTGCTAGATAGATTCCCAGAGCAGCACTTAATACTACAACAGGATCTTTGTCACAGCATTTGTAATCAAACCACTGCATTATGTTTGGGGTTTTTCCCCTGCTTGGTCTGAAAAGATGATTCATTTCTCTGGGTGAAGCAGTACACACATCCACGTGCATTATCAACTGTTTATCTGAGAAACAAGCATTAAAATGTTGCATATTTATCACTCACCAGCTGCAGCATGCAGGCTGCTGCTGAAACTGCAACTACTTGACTGGGTTTTATTAACACTTCATCTCTGTACAGTGAGCCAAAAGCCACCTGTAGAGCTGAAAAGAGCACAGGCATCAAACAAAGGTAGGACATTGAGCACAGGTTAACTAAAAGAATCCTTCAAGGTAACCAGACCACTTGTGTGCACCCATTCTCTACAATCTTATTTGCCTCTGGATATAAAGTGAGTCTTTACCAGCCCAAACACACATGAAACAGAAAACAAACTTGGTGTTAAGCAATTAAATACAGAATCCCAGCCTGGTTGGGGTTGGAAAGGACCTGAAGATCATTCGGTTCCAACCCCCTGCAACAGGCAGGGACCCCTTCCACTAGAGCAGCTTGCTCCAAGCCCCTGTGTCCAACCTGGCCTTGAGCACTGCCAGGGATGGGGCAGCCACAGCTTCTCTGGGCACCCTGTGCCAGCACCTCAGCACCCTCAAGGGAAGAACATCTCAGTCTCCCCTCTGTCAGGTTAAAGCCACTCCTCTTGTCCTGTCCTTTCACTACTTAAACAAAATACTCGTCTTAAACCAGCCACAGAGTCACATCATGGAGCAATGAAGAGAGCAGTAAAACCAGATAAAAAGAAGTTAAACCTCAAGATCCTTCTCTGAAGCCAGACACTAGCAGAACGTTGAGACATTCCTGCGATGTTACAAGTGCCTCTGCTACTCCTCTGAAAAACACTGCTTTCTTGCCCCATGGTGATTGGAACCACAGCAAAACATTCTGTCCACTCACCCTGATTGAGCTTTTCAAGACCAGACAGAGGAAGATGGGATTCACCCTCAAACTTGGGTCGCCACAAGAGCTGATCTCAAGAGCACTGATGCCAAAACAACAAAACAAGTGGTTGCTCCTCCCAGCTTGGAGGTACAGAAATGAATTCAACTCTGTTGGTGACCCCAGTTCAGCTCAAACCTGAATGAGCACAGCACTCATTCTCCCCAGTTTCTTATTTACCAGTTTCAAAGTTATCCTTAAAAAATAAAGCATGTATTTGCAGTTATTTTTGCCAGGTTCAACTTAACCTCTAGCTCCAGAGTTTTCTTTGAATAAAAGGTTCCCACTCACCTTCTACATCAATATTTTGGTCAGGAATCTCCAGTTCTATGGTGTTCATGCTGGATTCTTTCCAAGATCCACTGAACATGCTGGAAAAGTAGCCTGACTACAAGGGAAGACAAGAGAAGAACTCAATTAAGAGAATTCATTCCAATTAAAGCTGTTAAAGCAGCACAAGGCATGAAAACTGGTTAATATTTAACTTTATGCAGATCAAAAATGCATTAAGGGAACTTTCCACAAGCTCCAACGTTCTGACATACTTGAGAAAGGATGAATTGTGTTTGCTCTGTTTCTGAATGTGAAAACGTGCAGAGAAGATTTGTACTCTATGTCTGTAATCACAGTAAGTAAAGAGCTTTAAAGGGCCAGAAAAGCCACATAAGCTCTTTTTCTTCAAATCACACCACCATTAGGGATATAATTAGTCCAAGAACTAAGTCCTTAATGTTACTGGTGGACAACAAATCCTGCAGGCATTAGGGAATGCCAGTTTGGGTATTGGGGGGTAGAAAGGAAAGCATGCAAGACATAGAAAGGCACAAGGTTGCAGACTCATACCAAGGACTCATACACATGCAGCACCGATGTAGAGAGACCTTTTATTCTAAAGGGTAAGGCACATAAAACTAGAATTAGCCAGTTTCCAACCAAATGAAGTGAAACATACTGTTCTACTAGGAGTCATGATTCTCCTTCTCAGCAGCAGATGTGCCCATTATGAGGCTATCACCCATCAAACTTCACCTGAGAGATGAATAAATCCTATTTGTACAGCACCACCTTCCCTGACCTCTTACCTCAGCATTTCACCTCAGGGCAGCAAGTCACATGCAATCCAACTTTGATTTTACCTGATGATGGAAATACTTCTATACCTTCAGCATATCCCCTACCTATGATGACAGTCAAACCTACTCTCAAAGGCAGGGCCTCATCCATCTTACCAATCAACGCTCATGAGGCTGTATTAGCTTTGCCACGTAGATCAACCCCTCAGTTTCATGAGGAATGATCATTTTACTGAAGAGCATCAGTAAAAGGAAATCCTCCATTTCTGGAGAATCTGTTCTATCTGTTGATCTGCCATCAATAGGAAGAGCAGCAAGTAAATGCTTATTGTCATTTAGCAACCTCAATGCAGTAACGCGGGAGATGAGGGGCACCGAAACATTCAGACCACAGTAAGAGTCGTCATCACTTCATCCAGAGTAATTCACAGAGTTATTTAACCTCCAAAGACATTGCCGCTGTACTCACATCATTCCAGTGACAGACACAAGTGGAAACAGCAACCGACTTATTTTATGCTGCACAAGGCAAGGCTGTCCAACGGCTTACACCTTCCCTTTGGTAGGGAGAGGCAAAATCACAACTAAAGCCAATTAAAGACCCCTAAAGCTGTGTCTGCCATGGGCAAACACTGTTCTGTTCAGAGCTAGCTGCCCCTGCTCAATCTTTGGCTACACACAAATGCCTTTCCAAAGTTCAAAACATCATGGAATCAACCAGCTTGGAAAAGAGCTTTAAGATCAAGTCCAACCATTAACCCAGCACTGCCAAGGCCACCACTGACCATGGCACTGAGGGTGTGTGAACACTTGCAGGGACGGTGACTGCAGCCCTGCCCTGGGCAGCCTGTTCCAATGCCTGAGCACCCTCTGGGCAAGGAATTGTTCCTCAGCTCCATCTAAACCTGCCCTGGTGCAGCTTGAGGCCGTTTCCTCTTGTCCCATCCCTTGTTCTGTGGGAGCAGAGCCTGACCCCGCTCACTCCCACCTCCTGTCAAGGAAACAAAACTACCTCAAGTCACACTTAACATTCACCCGACATCACTTTGCACAGCTCCCATCGCGGGGAAGCAGGCCGCTCACCTGGCACAGATATATCTTGTGCAAGTTCCACTCCTCTCCCAGGGCACGGATTTTGATGTCGCTGTTCTCGCCGTTCAGAAACAGCGTCAGGTAAATGTACTCGGACGTGCTTTTGAACTTCTTCCTGTACACAGCCGCAAACGCGCACCCATGAACAACCCCGAGCACAAAGCACCCAGCCCGGCCCTGACCGAGGCCCGCAGCCCCCTCAGAGGCCGCTCCCCGCCCCAAGCCCCGACCTGCGGCGGCCGCTGTGGAGCCGTTCGTCGTCGCAGTCGCTGTCCCCGCGGCCCCTCTTGCTGCCGCGGCCGCCGCTATCCCCGGGCTCCTCATCACCGGGGGGGAGCCGCTCCCGGTGCCGCCGCCGCCGCCGCAGGCCCCGGCTCAGCAGCGAGCCCATGGCCGCGGCCCGCTGAGGAGCAGCGGAGCCTCCACCGAGGCTGTTGGCGGCTCTGCGCCTGCGCGGGGCGGGGCTGAGGGCAGCACCGGGGCTGGGAGCGGGCCTGGAAAGCGCCGGGTGCGGCGGTGCCGCGGCCCCCGCTGACCCGTTAGCGCCTGACCCCCCCCAGCTCCCTCAGCCGGACCCCATCACCCCTGTGCTCCAGGCCCTGCTCCAGCCCCATTGCCCTTCTCTGGCCCCGCTCCACACCTCAATGTCTCTGTTGCAGTGAGGGCCCCAGAGCTGAACACAGGATTTGAGGTGCGGCCTCACCAGGGGCACAATCCCTGCCCTGGCCCTGCTGCCGCACTGGTGCTGATCCGGGCCAGGATGCTGGGGCTGCCTGGGCACAAGCTCCTCGTGTTCAGCTCCATCAATCAGCACCCCCAGCTCCTTCCCCATGAGCCGTTCCCAGCAGCAATTCCCCAAGCCTGGAGCGTTCCCCATGGGGTTGTTGTGACCCAAGCGCAGGACCCGGCCCCCTTTGCCTTGTGGAACCTCATCCCACTGCCCACAGCCCATGGATCCAGCCTGTTCCAACACCTGACCACCCCTTTGGTGAAGAAATTGTTCCCAATATCCAGCCTAAGCCTCCCCCAGCACAGCTTGAGGCTAAGAAAGTGCCTGCAGAGCACGGAAGTTGTTGAGAATGAGATGGCTGTGGTTACTTCCTCATCACCTCCCCAGCGTGCACAGTCCCAGCAGTAGCTCTGGAAACAAATCATTTATTCATTATTAAAAAGTCAGCAACGTAACATAAGGCATTTAAACACAAACCCAAGCCTGAGTGCATCTGAGTAAGCACTGGGTAAGACAATTCTTTCACTGAGCTTCAGTGGCACTGGGCAAAGTTCCATTGGAAGAAGCTCTGCCTCCATTCTCACCAAACCTAAGGAATGTGTCTCCAGTTGCAGCACAGAAAGGAAGAAAAGGATTTTAGCTGAGGCCACAGCAGTGTCTCCTACTCAAGCCAACAGTAGCCTAGGTTAGAAGAAAATGAGTGTCCAAATTGGGTGTAAGGCTGTATCAGTACCTTTGAATTCCAACCACTGTCTGATGCCTTCAGAATGGGGTTATTTAAGAGCTATTTGAGTTGCTAAGCCAAACAAGCAGCACATTTTTGTAGTGAAAACAATGCTCAGCTTAACAGGCAGGTTCGTAGGGGCTGAGGGAAAAGCCTCTTCCAGAGGTTGGCCTGGAGATACAAACCGGCACCCTCTAAGAACAGCATCACACAGGGCTCCAGCCAGGACAAGGCACCTCCTCTAAGGCACCAGGGAGTGCTGATGGGGTTTCTGAGGACAGGCTGGTCCTTAAAAGGCACCATTCTAATGGCACCACTTTATCCAGAGGAAGGGTCTGTAACAGAACCCTCATGATTTATACCAAGGAAGACAGGCCAAGAACATGGGGCTGCTGCATAACCAGGGCAGCAAGAGATTCCTCTGATGTCACCTGTGACATCTTCCTTTCCTACAGATCTATAGGCAATATATACATTAAGTGCATAATGCTCCACACTAACAGGGCAAGTTAACACCTAAACATGCTTGTATTTTAGATGATTGAGTTGTGGTTTAATTATCTTGCAAGAACTGAAGCATTCTGCACTCTCCATTAGTGAGGTTCATTTTGCCTCTCACATCCTGCATCCAAGTTTGCCTCAGTTGATAAGTTTTGCAGTAGCAAAGGGACAGCTTGTCAGGAAATGATTTAGCTTTCATATGTAGGGTTACAGCATTCTGTTTAAGATGGGCTTTATTAGCCCAAGTAGTAGGCAAATGGGTGTTCCAAGCATAAAAGCACATCGAAAGGGTCAACTGGAATGGCCATTATCTAACCAGAACATTAACCCAAGTCAATGCTCATTGCAATTAATAGGGTATTTGGGAAAAAATTCAAAGAAAGAAATCCTTAGGATCAGTTACTTCCCATCACCCAGACAGTAACCAGGCATCCTTTAATCCTCCCCACCACAGAGCCTGAGCAGCACTTTCCTATAGTCTCCTGAGCAGTCTCCCTGGAAAGAGAAGGAAAAAGGAACGTGGTTAGGTTTTACATCTCCATGCAAGGCTGGGTTCTTCCCAGCACATATGACTGTTGTAGGGTTTGTGTCCTCTTTGGCAATTTAAGAACATTCAGGAACATTTTCAGTACATAAATGTAAAGTCTCCTTAATTCCACCTCCTCTGAAACACCCAATAGATGTCAGGCAGGGACCTGTCTCCTTCAAGCTGCTTAGCAAATCCAGCTCCTTGTTTCCAACACTGGAAAGCTCACCTTAATGAAGGAGTAGAGGGATTTCCCATACATGGTCAGGAATTCCCTTCTGATATCCAGCATATCTATTTCCGAGCGGGACACCATCACCCGGATCAGCGTGTTGTCATCTGTTCCCAAGCCCTAAAGAAACAAACCAACTTTACAACTAAGTACAGAGCATTTTGGATAAGTCAGTCACAAACACAAAGGTTTTATCACTTGGTCTTCTGTGGGACCTGTTCCTAGTTAGAGCATCTTTGCATTGATGGAGTGACTCACTAGCAGCTCATGATTGTTGTGATGCTACTGACTCAAGCAAGGAAAGGCAAAGGGAAGGGAAAATAACCTGACACCAAAAGCTCTTTACCTTCATGGATTTATACAGTCTTTCAGCAAAATATGCAGGTTTATTCCGTATGCACTTCACTGTAAGGGAATGAGAACAAGAGAATTAATACCAATAAAAACAGAAGGAGAGGATCTTCCAAACCTTTACAGTGCTTTCTCAGTGCAGGTGTTTATTCTGTAAAGATTCAATTCAAGGCCAACAAACAGCAAGTACAATGCAGACATCCATAGTGACCTGTTATAAATTGATGTCTCCGTGCCCAGTGTACAGTAGTATTTTCTTCAAGGCTTTAATGCTTCCTGACAGCAAATGTCAGCTACCAAAGCTTCACTTGGGAAAGCAAACAATGTCATAAAGCACAGGATTTTCTTGCCCAATTGTATTTGCAAAGATTAAAACACTGTGGATTGCAAAAAGCCCCCAGATGGATCTGCCTTGTGAAGCTGTGTAAGCAGCCAGCCAGGGCAAGATACAACATCTCTGATTGCTTAAGTACTTTGTAGCCAAAGTTTAAAAGCAGGGAACTCACCCACAGCCAACAAAGCATCTTCCAGGTCTCCTGACATCTCAGATTTAATGCTCTCTGTTATGTCCTTATTAGCAATTCGTCTGTAGGCATCAAAAACTAGGAGGAAGAGTGAGTGACAAAAAGAGCTGCAGGGCATACAGTGTGTAAACCATTGAGGATCACTTTGTAAGATCAAGCTCCTCATACTCAGTCTGAGCATTGTACCATTACTGTAACATCGTAAGCTAAATCAGGGCTTGACCCACAGAAATAACTCATTTTAATTAATCAAGTCTTGCTAATTGGCCTACCACGGCTGCTAGCATTCTACAGAACTGCTAGTTAGTGATGGCAGTTTAAATGCTCTGCCCCAAAGGAAGTCACACTTCAACATCTACACTTCATAGGCTGAGGCAGGTTGTACCAATAGTTTTCTCCAGTCCCTTTTTTGTCTCAGGAGGGAATAAAATGGTCTTAAAGAATTGAACACACCTGGGCTCTAGGATACCTGCTGTTCACAATCAGTTTGTGAATAAGTATAAAGTATCTTCCTCAAACAAGGAAAAACATCCAGGACACTGCAGAGAATCCTACCTCTCAGTAGGTGGTTTCTGTTCCGTGTACAGAGGATGGCCATGAATTGTACCTCATCTGTTCCCCATTTCTGCTCCCCAGCTTCATACAGGCACTTGAAGACATTAAGAATAGACAAAGTAAGGCTAATCGACGAGACCAGAAAGACCATTAACCTGACACTGCCAAGTCCTCCACTAAACCATGTCCCTAGGCCAGTTTACCCAGTGACCAGCACACCCATCCAAGCTATGAGCAGTCAGTTTCTCCAGCAGAATGCTCTGGAAAGCAGTGTCAAAGGCTTGACTAAAGTCAAGGTAGACAACATCCACAGCCTTTCCCTCGTGCACTAAGCAGATGACCTTGTCAGAGGAGGTCCTTGGTGCTTGAGCACTGCTGGCCTGAAGCTTGTCCAGAGCACAGATCTTTTCCAACAACTACTAACCAAGCACAGCATCTCTCAATGGAAGTGCCACCTCCCCTCCCAAAACCCCAGCCTGTGTAGAGACCTCTCACCACAGAGTTGCACAGGAGCTTAGAACCATTATCCCCATTTCATCAGCTGAGTCAGAACAGCAAAGCAGCTTCTCTAAGGGTCAAAACTGAGAACAGAGCCCAGGTCTCCACCTTGGGCACTGCTGTGGATGCTTCAGGTTTACTGTTCTACCTTGAAAAGCGTGAGGTCTAGGAAAAGCAGGAGTTCATCACACACCACATGTACAAGAACAGGCAGTTCTTGCGAGGAGGCAAGTTGCTACACACCTGAGCATCTTGTTGAGCAAGGGCATCATCCACATAGGTTCCCTCATCTCTGTTGCCCTGCAGAGACAGAAGGGTGAAAAACTCACTTCACCAGAGCAACTAATGGAAGCAAATCCTGCAAATCCCCCATTCAGAACAAGTTACTGGAGATGCTTAATGGGATCCTTAAAATGGAACGATACAACAAAGTCTGGCTCAGATGTGATTTGTACTTCTGAAATGAGCAGCAATACACTCCAACTGGCCCATTTTATGAAGAGCATTAATGCATACTCAGAGCACTGCAGGGAATAGCCATGTGTGAAACACAGCTGAGGTGAAAAGCAAGATAAGTGAAATACAAGCCACTCTGAAACACCTCCTCACTGAAATGAGAGGCATGCTCATCAGCAACAGCAAGATTCCCTGCTTCCCTTAGCTGGGACTTACAGTCGAGAGGGACACGAGGACTCTTCGAAACATGGAAGATGTGTCAGAGACAATGTCCTCCTCAAGGGTACGGCCATACTCTAGCAAGAGCACACACAGATGACATCTGTTAGGAACAGGTCCACCACCTGGACAGTGTTTGTCCACAGCATTTGCCAGCTGTGGTAAGTATATCAATCTGCTCATGGCCCTAAACATCATGGAACCATAGAATCGTTTAGGTTGGAAAAGAGCTTTAAGATCAAGTTCAACCATTAACCCAGCACTTGTCCTGTCTCTTCTTACTTGAGAGAAGAAACCAAACCCCACCTCCTGGCTCCATCCTCCTGTCAGGCAGTTGTAGGGAGCAATAAGGTCCCCACTGAGCCTTCTCTTCTCCAAACTGAACCCCCCCAGGTCCCTCACCTGTTCCCCATCACACTTGTGCTCCAGGCCCTGCACGAGCTCCATTGCCCTTCTCTGGCCCAGCTCCAGAACCTCAATGTCTCTCTGTTGTAGTGAGGGGCCCAGAGCTGAACACAGGATTCAAGGCGCAGCCGCACCAGTGCTCAGCACAGGGGGACAATCCCTGCCCTGCTCCATCCCATTTTATTTATGCCAATTCAATTTCTGGGTGAAATTCTAACCCTTGAGGCTTTAGCAGTGCTGCTGCTGACACTTGTTGAACTCAGGCATTCTCTCTGGACAAATGGCAATAGCTGTACTGGCTCATTTGTCACATCTAAAGGCTATCAGACCTTTCTCCCTCTACACACGTGCATGCATGCACACCAGTGACTCTCAGTCAGTATGGTGCTGGTTTGCAGTGTGCACCACGTACCAAGTTGGTAGTTCTCATTAATGCGCCGAATATCTTCATTGGAGCGAGAAGCCAGGATTTCAATCAGACAACCTTCATCTGTTCCTGCTCCCTGGGGAGTTGCAAAGACAAGATCCACGAGCATTAGGATACTTTTCTAATTATATAGCAGTTAATACTAATAAATTAATGCTAAATGTATAATTATGGCCTATCATACTAAACTGACTAGAAAAGGTGACAGAAAAGGGAGAATCCCAAACCTTGATAGCCCTCCTCAGTTCATGCACGTCGTACATGATGGCAGGAGTCATCATACCAACAATGACCCTTTCAAAGTTCCCACTCAGCTCAGACTTCAAGTCATCAATCAGATCCTAGAAGATGGAGAGAGGGGAAATGAGTTGGGAGAAACAGCTTCTGAGAACAGAACAAACTCATTCACCACTTTTCTTCATGCTCCAGCACTCACTGGAACGACTGCTCTGAAGAGAACAAGGCCAAACCAAACCTGGCCAGGGAAAGCTTGTGCTGACCTTACTGCTGTGGAAATTAGGATGTTGTTCTCATTTCACCCAAGTGGTATTACCCCAGAATGCCTGCATCTCCCAGGTAAAGCCACAGACACACATCTCTGAAGACCACCTACCCTGCCAATAGTGCTTTTATACGTGATCAGAACTTGCTGACGCTGGGAAATGTTTAGTTTGGTCAAGGTGTCAATGATGGCATCTTCGTCTGTGCCTGGAAGAAAGCAATGCAAACCAGTCAAGCTGCTTGCACAAGAACCAGATGCATGATCTGATCTTGTCCAGAGTGTGCCATTAGCCCTAATCTTCCATTCCTTACACAACCTGGTTCTCAGTATCTTCTGTTCCTCAAACAACCTGGTTTTCAACATCTTCTGTTCCTCACACAACTGGTTTTCAACAGCACTGGGGCCTAGATCAGTGTTCAGAAGTGCTTCAACCCAGCCACCAGCATGGCAGTGCCACACCACAGGAGAGACAAGAGCCTGACTAAGGATGGTTTCGTGGCCATGCCTTGGATTTCCAGTTGGGTTTAAGCCACTCAATTCCTTTCAGTGCCCTCATGGGGCAATGACAATGGCTGGACTTCCCCTTTAACAAACCACCAGACAAAACATTCCCAATGCCTGGGGAAAAACAGAGGTTTAATAGTGGATGGAGACCAACTTACCAAATCCCTTCATAGCCTTCCTTAGAGCCTGTGCTTCTTGCTCAGCACTGAAACTTGAGACCCCCTTGACTGTTGCCTAAACCCACAGGACAGGAAATATGAAAAACAGACTCAAAGGGAGACATACGCATAATAGAGCTGAATTAAAACCCCCCTTTTTCTGGTTAAAGTTGACTGATAAAACCTGACTGATTTTATACTGGGATTCCTAAAAAGAGTTCTAGAGGGACCTCCCAGCCACATAAGAAATAAGCTGCAGGGACACAACTTCATTTGCTGCCTACAGAGTATCTGATTTCCAGTGAGACAATGGCAAACAGCCTGACATCTCTGTTCAGTCTGGCTGGGGCTTATTGCCGGTAGTTTTCCATGTAAATCATAGATGAAGCTGTTCCCATCAAAGCCCTATTCCTGACTTCTCCAAGAGAAAACATCATTCTGTACCATCAGGTGCCAGGAAGCACAGTGTTTTACTCAAAACAGTGGTTCACAAACAGGTTTCTCCTGCCCCCTGTCCAGTGCCATTTCTGTGGGACTACATTGTCTCTTCCAAAGCTCTTAATATTCCCAGGAAAACCATCTGCAAAACACTGCTTAATATTCCTGTAGGGTAGGCTTTCTGAAACAGGGATAACTACCCTATAAATGGCTACCTTGCAGCTTGAACCTGGAAACAATAATATACCCAGGAACTCTATCGGGAGAAATTCATGCATTAATATCTGATTGGATTTTCCATTAACTCCCAAACAGGAAAAGCCCAATTGTGTGGGTCATTCTCCTCTAGAATAAGGAAGCAGAGAGAAGTGATAAACGTCCCCCCATAAAGGAACAGTGATAGTGTTCTTCCTGTTGTGAGCTTATCTGAGCTACACTCCCCATGTTTTATCTGATGAGAGCAACTGCTTGGCACAGCATGGTACACAACACACACACTCACCATGGCTCTCAGATGGGGTCAGGCTGTTACTGTCTGAGTCTCCAGGCAGTTGACAACTGTAATAAAAAAGGAGTGTTAGTTTTCTAGCAAATAATTAATAGGATATACCTTCTCTCGCCAGCTAATGGGGCTGGTTCAGTAACCAGCTCATTTCCCTGTGTTCCCAGCAGCATCCCTGTGTTTCCAGTCCTTCTTTGTACCGAACAGAGGCTGCTTGCAACATCAGTGCCAGGATACCAGCCCTGTCTGAAGGGAGGATGTGGTGCACAGGCAGATGACCAGCACTAGTGATCTAAGACATTTCTATCACTGGTGTGACAGCCTGGCTGAGGCTACAAGGAGAAGCAGATAACATTGCCTTGGGAGCAAAAAGCTTCAATCCCCATGGCCTCCAAAATACACGGCTTCGACCTCATCAGGTTAAGGGTGAATTAGGGTGAGGGTGTCCTGACAGCCTCTACACACACTCCCTGGGAGCTGGAGACAGCATCAAGGTGTAGATGAGCATGCAAAGGATACCTTCACTTGAGGAGTGGGATGGGAGAACTATTTTCCGTCTTGCTTAAAATCTGCTGCATTCAGCCCTTGCTCAGCTTGGTGCAACGTGTAATTCCTTGTAGGCTGCAGCTTTAACTGACCTCAAAAGAGAGACAAACCCTTTCTTGCCATCTCCCCAGGGTTGTCTTTTCCGCTTAGGATTTGGCTTTCATGCACAGGGCCTACACATGAACACCCCCAGAGTATCTTCCTCACATCCCTGGTTGGTTAACAGTACTAGGACAAGGTTCACTTCCCTCCAACTCCAATTCAGCCCAGCATGAACTGAGCTCCTCCCATTAAGGGTGATGCCAGTGGCTGATGACACCTCCCCTTAATCCTGCTCGTGGTGCTTAAGAGCTGGTATCAATGAGCCCAGACAGTTGTGCAAGAGCAGGAGTAAGAGCTCACATGACTCTTACAAATCCAGAACACACTGGGAGGGTGCAGTTTAGGCAGGTCAGCTCAGTGTGACATTTGCCATGGATGTGTTACACACAGGCACTCCCAAGTGCTTTCTAGGTCATCTTTATTCCACCCAGTGCAATCAGACGACATATGGAAAGTTATTAGTGTTATTAGTGTTGTTTTCTTTCCTTTGCTGACAGATTTCAGCAGTCAAAACCTGATCTAGACCACGGAAAACTCATCTTTGCTCTTCTCTAATCTTTACAGAAGTACAAACCCAACTTGGTTTGCTTTAGCCAGACACTAAGTAATGGCTTTGAATTTCACATATGTGCTTCTGATGCAGTTTTACCACTCAGTTGGCTTGTACACAGGAGCAGGAATATTTGACAGCCTGGCTTAGTGGCTTAGAAGGAAAAGAAAGGTCAATAAACAAGGAAAAAGGGGTGGGAGGCAGAAAATTCCTGTGTCCAAATGAGCTGGTTCAAACCAACACATGAGGAAAGGATGGGTGTGCTGCATATAGGCCTGCAATATCAAATCACAACAGAATATTGACTGTATTGACTGTAAGAGTCCAATTCTTCATCCAGCTTCAGCATCATATAAAGAACACAAAGCCAGATTTGTCAGCACTCTGCAGCTTAACATGGTTCAAATAGGGAAAGCCAGCTTCAGGATAGGAACACTTAACTGTGTTTTGAACAGTTAAACTATGCATGCAGAGAGGCAGCTCGCAAGTGCTAAGGTGTCCTGGCTAATCCCTGTCCTCATGTTATTTGCTTCAGCCCAGAATAAAGGCCTGAGCTTGCTGATACACGTCAGGAAACCAAAGGGTTTAAGGTTGCTCAAGGAATCACTGTCAGAGATACTAAGAGAAGGAATTTTAATAGAAATTGATAAATGTGTGATTCAACAGAATTCAATGGCAAGGTTCACTCTGTTAGAAACAAAAAAGAGATTGTGTCAGAACTGGCAATGATTTATGCAGGACTGAAGTGACTTATACAGAATTTAATTGAAATGTGTATAGAAACTGAAAATACAAAGGAATAAGGGAGACCCCCCCCCCCCGTTGAGTCATGAGGTTCAGATTAGACCACTCTGCTTCCTAAACCTCCTCTCAGAGGTGAATCCAGACTTAGTCCCAGACCTGGACAAGGGTTTATGTTTAAAGCATATTAAATGTCATTTAGCAGCAGTTTCTATAGTTAAATGAATCACAGGATTTCTAACAACACTTGCATATTGAACCTAATGTACATGCACTCACAAGTATCTAAACTAACACACTAAGACGGAGATAAATGGATATATATAGACATATAAATGTTAAATATAGCACAATACTTGTCCTATACTAACAACATACATCAGCTAGCTCAGCAGGGTTGGGTGTCAGTGAGCAGTAGGAATAGCCTAGGTGGATGATCCCCCTATTTCCTAAACTTGGAGAGTCTGGGGGCTCCGAGAGGTGCCCCACTCAGAGGGAGATAACTGGGTCCAGGAGAGCTCAAAGGGACTCCCTCTTAGGATCCCTATTTATAGGGTCTTGAGATGATGAAAATCAGTGCAAATTTTCATCCTGGCCTCAGATCTTCATCAGGGAATGATTTCCATTTTCCCTGGTATATGATAAGGGAGCATCCAGCCTTCCTGTTACTGTGTGACCCTTCCCACCTTTGTTGGGTGAGTTAATGGTCAGGCAGTTCCCAGCCACCCACTCCATGTATTTGTGCGAAGGCTAACAGAAGCTCTTGGATCCAGGAGAGAGGGGGAAGGATGCACTAAGTAAGGTAAACCTGGCTTAGAGCAGGCTCAGAACACTGTGCCCAGATGCCAGAGTGCAGGTGTATGAGGCTTCCCTCCCATTATTCAAATCTTTCCTATGGATGACTTGTTTCCTGGCAGCCTTTATCAGCTAACCAAGCAGTTATAAGCTGCACATTGATCTCTTCTAAAAGCCCACAGACATGTTTCCAGTCCTACACCTAGGACCTGGAGTGGAAAACCACTGTTTTGGGACCCATCCCCTTGCAAGGCAAACACTGGACTTGTTTGGCTAGTTCTTTCATTCGCCTACTGGAACACAGCCCCACACCCTGTGCCTGATCAGCTTTTCCATGGCTCTGTCACCACCAGTGGTTTCCAGCGTGTGGATACAGCCTGCTCCCTCCACAGCTGGCTGTGCTTCAGCAAAGTGCCCCGGGGTAGGTCTGGGGCTCATAGCACGGTGAGTGGCTCTGATCCCAGCCCAGTTTGCAGCTCAGGAAAGGATCCCCCTTCTGCTGGCAAGCCCCGAGCCAGCCAAAATATCCCAGCACCTCCCACACCGTGACCTCTGCCTGGCCACTGCCCTCATAAGGAATACAAACACAACAGTGAGGTAACAGAGCCTTGTTCTCCTCGCTTCAGCCTGTGCACCCACCCAAAGCCATTTCACAACCCTCTGCCATGCCCTCCACTCTCCAGCGAGGATGACGTGCCAGCTTGGGCACGGCAGACATAGGAAGCAAAACCTGTGCCTGGAAAGAGTCAGCCATTTTCCTCCTTCCCAAAGGAAGTCCTTCCTCACCCCACACTTGTGTCCTTTAGGGCTGCCCCAATGCCTTGGCATCATGACCCTGATGGGCACCCACCCAGCCAAGGGCTCTCGCTCCGGCACAGCCGCACTTCAGCCGCTGCCGTCTGGCAGACAGGGACCAGTTTGGCACCTTCCCAGGCACCTCTCGCCGTGCAACCCCTTCCCCATGCCAGAGGGGACCCCCGCTTGGTTTGGCACTCACCTGATGTCCCCAGCGGCTGCCTTGGCAGGGATGGGAGAGCTGTGCTCGGGGCTTATCCTGGATGGCGATGTCCCCGCCCTGGAGCAGAGAGGAACTCCTCCCTCCCGATGGGAAGTCAATCCAGCTCTGCTGCCCTCCTCTGCCCTTACCCAAGCGCTTGTGACCCAGAGCAGGGAGAGATTCCTTAGGGAGCATCACACACCTTTAGGAAACGCACTATTGGGGTTACACAGTGGTCTTTGCAAGTAAAAGCTGGCCTGGCAGCCTGGGATGGCTTCCAAAATCCCTTCCAGCGCACAGGCAGCATCTGATGTCTCACTGTGCTGCCTGTAACAGGGCACCCCAAAGGGGGGATTGAGGGGGACGACAGCATGGAACACAGCAAGAGGCAGAAACAGCCCTGAGCAAGAAGTTCTGCTCATTCCTACATGTAGTTTGTGGGGATTTCTTACCTGTATTGTGCCTCCTTTCCTGCCACAGCACCTCCTCAGGTCTTCAGCATCCTTTCCCCCTTGTCTAAGAACTGAGCAACAAACAGCCGTGATTTCTGGAAGAATGATTATTTTCATACAGCTTATTACTTTTGCCTCAATAAATTGCACCACCCTCATGTCAAAACACTGGAGGCAAAAGGACTTCAGTTTTACCCTCACGTGACACAGCCATGGACAAGATCATGAGGCTGAAGGAGGGAAATCAACATTGCAATGATACGTATCTTCCTTGTGTGTATCCCCAGGGACTTTGGTCTCCTCTGATGCCAGAAGTACAGTTACTATAATGGGTAAATCAACCCTCTCAGGTTCATTTTTTCACTCGTACAAGTTATAATCATCCCTGTGCCTCTTTGCACATGCTCTTTTGCTGGAAGAGACCTAAATTTAGCAGCTGGGATGAATGCAGGCTGTGCTCCTGTGAGCATGTCTGTGAGCTGCCTTATTATAGCTCTCACTGCAGCTCAGCTCCCAAAAACAACCCCACAGAGGCCACCAAGAGCATCTACTCCCTCCCTGCTGCTGCAGGGGGTCACTGAGCAGAGGGGAATGGGCAAAACAAGGCTGAAGCCACAAGCACTCTCCTTTTCCATTGCAGATTCCTTTTCCTTACACAACTTGGCACTTCACCCTGTGCAGGATCCAGTGTGGATTAGTGCATGTTATCAACAGTCACTAAGGAGAAGCTCTGCTCTTTCCTACATCTGTTAAAGTTTCCATTCTCAGCCCTTCCTCTCACGTCAGCTGTCTCCTGCTCTGAGCCCATACCCCTCATTTTAACCCACCACCAGAACTGCTGTTTCTCCATCTTATGTTGCCTGGGGTTTTTTTTTTTAGCCTGTGTATTTTCAAAGCTTCCTTCTGCTGCTTTCCAGCCTCTTCAACCCAAAGACTGGATGGCTGTGACACTGCAGCATTGGTACATGCAACAGTAAGTATTTATATCCAACAGTAATTAGTTAAGACCAGAAGTTAGTCAGCATTTCTGTATTTATCCTTTATATATTGCCCCAATCCTGCCATTTGTGATTTGGATAATTCAGCCTTTGCTTTCCCTTTGGGAGAGGCTCCAAGTAGAGAAGAATGTTTGAAGATAAAGTGTGTGGATGCTTTTGGCCATCTGGAATTAGTCATGTAAATGTAGTCCATTCAGAAGCCAGATCCTGACCCAACACACACCTGAGTTCCCTATAACCTTGGCTGGTTATGGTTGCTGTCTCCATAGCCATCCAACTCATATCATCACAATTACTCAGACAGAAGAGAGTTAAAAAAAGCCCAAACCAAAGTACAAAAGCTTCTGACCATGCTGAGAGTTGCTGAACTGCTCTGGAAAGTGGATGGAAGGATGAGGGATGTAGGGCAGTGTTTGTCTGAACCCTGTTGTAACTTTCTCCATGAGCTGCTCCCTTCAGGAAGGCAAAGGGCTGTTACTGTAGGAGAAATTTCCTATATAAGATTCAGGAGACAAAGCTTTGGCCCTCCAGGAGCCCTTTATCTAAGGTCTGCTCAGCTTTCAGCATGTCTCTTCATCTCTTAAAGGATGAAAAGGTTACGGCTATCCTTAAATATCTCCAGCGTGAAGCACTAACACAGCTTTGCTGTCCTTACATCAACAGTAATGGACAAGCCCATAGCTCTTATCAGTGTAGCAAGTGACAAAGCACATTTCACTGATAACTCCTGTTTGTCCCATTGATTATTTTAAGCCCCCTTATTATAAAGGTCTCCAAAACTCCAGACTTTCCGTGGTTGCATACCTGCTCTGTATTCCCTCTCCATCCTACTGTTCTCCCAGCTCTACAAATGACATAATAGAAATTAAAGGTCACAGAAAGACAGGGATGTGTGTAATGGGTAAAAAAATTGAGCTCAAACAGCCTGGTAGGAAGGAGGTTTTTATTTTAGGTCCCACAATGAGAACAGAGCTGAATCTCCTGAAAAACGGTAGCATTTGTGTTTTTGCCCTGAGGACCTACCCTTTCAAATCTGCACCTCACAGAGCAGCAGAGCCTGGTGCTGGAAGGGGAAATCTGATTAGCAGATACCTGCCTTTAGCTTTAGAGAAACAGCCTCACCTCAGTCACTGAGGTCCAAATCCTGGCACTAATGAAGTCATCAGCCAATCTCCCACAGGTTTACGGATGGCCAGAATTTGGACCTTTGGGGATCGTGCAGGTGTTCTCAGGAAATTCATAAGGGAATGTTCATTTTTATACCCAAGTACCAGCAGATTGCAATAAGCAGCCCCTGAAAATGGGGTTGTTCAACTGTTGCGCAAGTGTTGTTGGTGCTGTGCAGCGATGCTGTAGCTCTGCTGTTTCCATAGCAGGGTAGCCAAGGTTAGGGTGGAGGCTGAAAACCAGCACTGGCTTTTCTAAAGGACCAATTTTCTTGTGGTTGTAAGAGAGTAAAGAATTCTCACCTTCTGCATATTGGTATCAGGTTATTCAAAGTTAACTGCAGATATTAGGACTCACTGCAAAGACTTAGGGGTACTTTTGACTCCTTACCTCCAGTTCAGCACTGTATAAGGTGAAATATCCATTTCCACATGTCAGAGGTAGCCTCGGTGTAGAAACAGTGGTGTTTTGGCAAAGACCCTAGGAACAGCCATCCTGAAGCTTTTGTTCTCAAGTGAAGCCCTTTAACACAAAGAGAGGAAGGAAGGTGACATACACACTCCCAGAACTAGGTAAGCACTCTTGATTTGAGGTGGTAAAACTTAAATAGTCCAATTCATGTAAGAAATGAAAGTGTTCTTAGCTCTTCATCACTTACCATGACCATGAGAGGCGTTGTTATGAGGGGAATGTGTAGCACTCCACCTTGTAGCAATTCAGAGAGAGCTTCACAATGGCCTGAGCCAGTTCTGCCATGCAAGTTAAGGGCTCTTTGCATAGATCCAGGCTGATTACATAAACACACATGTCACATAAGGAAGGGGGGGAGCAAGGAACAGGGGAGCAGAACTGATCTGAGAAAATCCCTTTAACCTAACATGGCTTTAAAACAAGAGCCTGCATAGACACAATGATCTACACACCTCAGAATGAGGTGTATGGTGAGACAGGAATGAGCAGCTGTATGGAAGAGCCACAAATCAAACTCCCCACTTCAAGTGTGCTTCAATCACAAGACTTTTTAAGACAGGGCTGCTTGCATGTTCTGCAGGCGAGGAGAGGAGCTCCTAGGTGCTATTGCCATTTATAAGTGACAGCTATAACAGCGTCTGGGGTGCTACCACACTCAGCGCTTTCCACACTGCTGTCCCACAGCATATGCTGTGCTGCCACCATCTCAGAAGTGCCCACACACTCTGCCTTCCTCTCACAGAGAAACTTCAGGCTGCACTTGGCCACGAGCCCAGTCTGCTGTTTTCTTTTATTAACTAAAGCTATAAACAACAGGGAGCACAAACAGTCCTGGGCCAGTGGTTGTCTGACAGCCTCATCAGCTGCTTGTGTTAATGAATGCCATCCAAAGAGGGGCTGGAGTCAGTGAGCATCTCTGTAGTGGGCTTGTGAAGAAGGTTAAGCATTTGTAGGTGACACTTTTGCCTTCAGAACAACTCGCAGCCATACAAGTTGCCACTTGCTCTTGATCCTAGTTGTGTTGGCTCACCTTCCACTGTTCAAACTGAACGGGGGAAAACACCCACAGCAGAGATTAAGCACAGACTGTGGCCTTAAGACAGAAGTCTTCACAGGATCTAAGGTTGCCTAGTCTTAATAAGCCATTCCCAATCCTTGCTGGGAAGGCATCACCCAGTGTGGATGCAGTGCAATCCAGATAACACTGCTTATCACAGTATAGCCTATGTACATTAAGGACAAGACTAGACTACTGTAATTGCATTTACATTACAGTTTGTACAAATATATTAATTTTGCCTCAAATAAATCAAGACTAAGTGATATTACTTAAACCCCAAGCCTTAGGATATTTGCCAGCTCCATGGGGAGACATTCAGTAAGGGAAACTCCCAATGCCCCTGTGGTACAACCTAAACTGTCCTTCCCCAAAGCTGCAGGCTATGAACCACTACACCATTGCTTCCAGCAGCCTTAAATGCATTATCAAACCTAAATTCCATTTAATGAGCTTAATGAATGTTTGCTTTAATTAGCATACATACAGATCTGAAGAGGAAATGAGTAGCTTTCATTTTTTTCTCCTTAATTAATATCTGCTTCTATGTAGCTTTATCTTTCTTGGCTGCTCTGTAATTTGGCTTTAACACAGCCCTCAGGGAGGGAAACAGGGCTGTGACTGCCCAGCTCAGTGGGACTTCTAAGGCACGTGTGTATTCATTCCTTGATGGAAATACAGTAGAAGCTCATGACAGCTGACGACAACTTCAAGAGAAGAAGACATATTAAGCATCTTAAACATATACAGGGGAAGTTCAGGTTAGATCTAAGGCAGAAATTCTTCCCTGTGAGGGTGCCGAGGCACTGGCACAGGGCACTCAGAGAAGCTGTGGCTGCCCCATCCCTGGCAGTGTTCAAGGCCAGGTTGGACACAGGGGCTTGGCGCAAGCTGCTCTAGTGGAAGGTGTCCCTGCCCATGGCAGGGAGTTGGAATGGGATGAGCTTTAAGGTCCCTTCCAACAAAACCAGCCTGGGAGTCTATGGTCTTAACATAAGGAACCTAGTGCTTAGAAAGCAAAACAAGCAGCGCTGCTGCACAAGAGAAAACAAGCTAGGAGCAAAGGATGCTGCTAGCATTGTGGATAAGCCTGCAAATAGGATCCAGTCCTACCATGCCTAAAGATAGTCAGGAGCAATAACCAGCTTCATCAACCACTCAGTAACCATGAGGCAGACCAAGACAACAAGTCCACAGCCTACTTGGGAAGCCATCTTTTAAACACCAATGAGCAACACTACTTACATACAAGTCCAGAGCTTTACTAGCAAAACCAAAAGCACCCCTACAACTGTTCTAAAGAGAATGATTATCTTGTGCCTGTGCTTAAATAGAGGTGATAGCTGATGAGTGGTGGTGGGTAGAGGCCCAGGTGAGCCTGCTTGGGGCAATGAGAGCCTAAGGGTACATTCAGGACCCTGACACTTGAAACACAGCTGACAAATCCCTTCTCAGTGACAATCCAAGCTGCAAATTTCTCTTAATGTAACAATAACTTACTTTAAACAAGAGCATCTCTTTGTAGTGCACAGTCATGCTCCTCTAGAAGCATGGCTCTTGTTGACTTGGTGCTCAGTCTCAATCCAGGCTGTGTGTAGCATTGCATCAAACATGCATGAGCCTGCAACAATCAGATGGCAATTAGTTCCATGTGTGCCTTCTATATTTATACATAGGGCATGCACTATTCCTACTGATGGAAGAGGAGGGCTTCTGGCTGTAGGAAGTGGAGCCATTGCTGGGTATAGTGAGTATGCCTTACATAAAAGGGTAATCAGGAGCGTGTAACAAGTGGAAGTTTTTAAGCAGGTAACATACAGCTATATGTTTTGGAGCCTTTTTGTCTCTGCAGAGCTTGGAAGCCAGCTGAGTTACTGACTGTGTGGTGGTATGCTTGAGAGTTGACCTTTTCTTGAGGGTAGTAAAGAAAAGTGATGGCTTTTCTGGTTATGCTAACAGTGTTTGTGGGTCATTGCTATGCAAGTAAAAGAAATTCATGGGATAAAATTGTGGCTCTATTACTGTTTAGCTGGTGAGAAGCTTGACAGAAACGTTTGCAGTAAATATATGTGGTGAAGGGGAAATGCTTATCAAGGTAAGAATAACTGAATGAGAAGATTTTATTCTTATGCATTGACTACAGGAAAACACAAGCATTGCTTTGTTGCCCGTGAGTAGTTCTGTGTAATCAAGCAGAGGAAGCTTGTGCAGGCTGTTTCCTACCTTGTTGCCGCTTCCCAAACTGTTCGGGAGGGGTCACTGTGCCCTTGCTTTTAGGTTGAGAGCCTGAAACCTTTCCAAAGGTCTGGTTTTATTTAGAAAACGCTGAGCTGTCTGGAAAGTTTGATGGGTAGGGATGCAGCTGGATTCATGTGCTGCTTCCTGGGGATTTGAATGCGTTTTACTAGCAGTATAGAGGGATCAGGGAGACGATATGCATGCAAACACCTCTGCTGACCACATCATCAGGACTTGAATGTTTTAAATCCAGCATCATGGGATTCTAACAGATAAGATTTGGTGTTCAGGGTTGTCAGGTTTCTCTCTGCAGTAGGACAAATCTGTCTGTGAGCACAACGGATTTGCTCCAGGCTAACACAGGAGTACCAGACCATGTCTCTCCTGCAGTCACTGGTTAGCTTTTTCACTTAAAGCTTTCAGGGTCAGTTCTCTGATCCCTGTGAAGGTCACTGGGATTGCAGCAGTGCAGCCTTCTGGAATAAAGAGTATAATCTGCAACTGATGATCAGCTTCTGCTGTGCTTTTGCTCCTCAGAATGGTCACTATGTGCCTTTGGAGAGAACATTAGTTGTGTGTGGGTCTGACACTCATCTGCATTACAGTTTAGCACTCCCAGGTACATTTAAAAGTACTTCTCAGTGCCTAGTTTAGATGTTCAGCAATGCATCTGCAAGCTGTCTGCACAGCAGTAGGCTTTATCTCCTTTAGTTGGAAATGAGTCATTTCCCTGTACTGTACTCAGATGCTCAATTTCCTTGGAAATCATTCAGTTCTGCAGAGTCCCCAGAAATCACTGATTACTGGACTCTCATTTTGCACTGGGTGTTTTACCTCAGCCTTAACAGATCCCTAAGGAGCTTTCACAGGTTAGAGTAATTAAAAAAGAAAGGCTATAGAAGCAACTGGGCCTTTACCCACTTAATATTTAATCTGAAGGGCAAGTGAACCTTCTGTATTGACCACTGGCACCTCATCACACAGCCCCAAAACACAGCTGAGCAAGCTTTAATGAAGATTAAATGAGAAAGGGCTGTGTTAGCTGGCTGAGATGACTGCAGTTGTAGCTATGTGGATGTAGGGTGCCATGTATATGACACTTGGGAATGAGGTGCAGATAGAAGCCACTCTGCAGCCCATTACAAACTGTGGGTGAAGGATGGTGGTCAAAGAGGACTTTGAGGTCTGCAGGGTGGGTTTGTGGAGCCTTGTGTACAAGAGCGGCTGAGAACGATGATGATAAGAGCTGTAGCATTAACTGTGATGAAGAGGCACAGTGGCTCAGCAGAAAAGCAACTGTATAGCAATGCAGTTCTGCATCTGCACATCTAACATGCTCAAGATTATTACCACCAGCTATTTTGCCTATTCAGAGAACCACATGCCTCTTAAAAGCCTCCAAATGGGGAGGGAGATGGGGACAACTGGGTCTGTTTCCAACACGATGATCCAGTCTGTTGGCATTGCAGGAAGCCTGTGCCCAAGAGAAATGTAGGGACAAGGGTAAACATTTCTGCTATCCCACAGAAAGCAGGGCCTGCCTTTCCTATCCGCCTGGGACAGGAGCTTGTCAGCAGGATGGCTGTAGCTATTGCCATGATACAGGAAATAACACTCACAGGGAAAGGATGAGCGTGCTCTGGTTTCCTCTTCTGCCCCAGTCCGAGGGGAGGAAGGAGCAGTCCTGTCCTGGAGGCACTCCTGTGGCAGTCAGCTGCTTCTCAGGGTTCTATGCATTGGGGTGTAGGCTGGGAAAACTAGTTCCCCCCCCCCCCCCCATTTGAACGTTTCTGTTTGGAATCCCAGCTCTGGCGTTCCCAGCAGGAATGAGCCAGCTGCTGCGGATGCTGTTGGCTGGAAAAATCTCCTCACTTCTGAGGGGAAAAAAGAGGCATTTAAAGTAAAATTCCATCAGATTCAAACTAAACTGCTCTGAGGCTTGACCCAAAGGCTTTAGGCTGCTTGTGAACATCTTGCTGTCAGCTCCGTGAGGTGGAGAAAGATGTAATTTAGGGTAAATTTGAGGCTTTACACACCCAACTGCGAGGCTTAAAGTCCTCAAAGGGTGTAGAGGGCTCGGGATCCTGTTTATGCTTAATTTGAGGTTCTCAAACCTGGCATTTTGAAGGGCCTGTGCGAAGACAACCCAGGCCCTGAGATATCACCACAGGGGGGCTATTATTATTGCTATTATCATCATCATTATTAAGTTTAGGCGCACTGTCTGTAAAATACATGTAAATAACCGTCACCAGGCGAGGCGTCAACACGGGCCGCGGCTCCTCGCTGACAGGATTTTAACGCCCATCCCTCACGCCGAAGGGAGGAAATGCCCCCCCGGGCATCCCTTGATGCCGCTGGACCGGCCGGGGTCCCCATCGCGGCCGGGCACACTGAGGAGAGCTCCCGGTACCGGGGTCACCCCTCACGGCCCCACCACACATCGCCCCCCGCCCGCGCCCCGTCCTCTTCCCCGCCCTGGCAGCGCCGCGCTGCACTATGGGAGTTGTAGTCCTCCCCCCGGTACCACCGCCTCCCACTGCCACTATAGCTTTGCGACTGCGAACTACAGCTCCCATGGTGCCGCGCGGCCAGCCGCTGCCGCCATTCCGCCTACTCCGCCACCCTCCCCTGCCAAAGGGCGCTTCCACCCCCCCCCCCCCCCCGCCGCGCTGTGGGGCGGGAGCCGCGCTACCGGGCAGCGGGGGCTCCGCCGGCGGGAGCGGCCACCGGGGGTGACGGGGCCGGGCCGGGTCCCCCGGGCTCGGCCGAGAAGCGAGGGGGCGGCGCTGCCGGCGGCAGCCGGGACTTCCTGTGACAGCCCATTTCCTGGTCGGATGGGGCCGGCGGGCGGCGGGGTCGGTCCTTGACGGGCTCAGTGGCCGCCAGGCAGCGATGCGGGCCCCGGGCCCTGCCGGCAGGCGGCCCCCGCCGTGACCCGCCGCGGGCAGCCGCTGGGGCTGCGGCTAGGCCGGCCCTGGGCGCCGCTGCGGGGTGCATGGGGTCACCCCCCCCCGCCCGCACAGAGATACCGGGCGGGGGCCGTGTCAGGGGCCCTGTCACTCGGGCCTCCGCTGAGGGGGCTGCGGCGGCCCAGGCCGCGCTGTGGGGGTAGCTGCCAACCCCTTCCCGTTCTCCGCGTTGTGCTTTCGCAGGGGTGAATCCCTCACACCCCGCTCGGCCCCGGACCCCCGTCTTCGCCCGGCGGCAGGAAGCGGGGGAAGGGGGTTTGGGACCGGCAGAGCAGCATCGCCCCGCGCACGCAGGCGGCTGCTGCCTCCTGAGACATGAAGAAGTTTTTCGACTCGCGTCGGGAGCAGGGTGGCTCTGGCCCTGGATCGGGCACCAGCGGCGGCGGCGGTGGCAGCGGCGGCCCGGGCAGCGGGTACATCGGGAGGGTGTTCAGCATCGGCCGGCACCAGGTGACGGTGGACGAGGTGCTGGCGGAAGGTAAGACCCCAGGGCCTCTGCTTCCACAGAGCTGGGAACGGGAGGCTTTGGCCTTTCCTGGGCATTCCGCCTCCCCCTCTATCCCTAGCTCCCCATATATTGTATTGTCCTTGACAGAAGTGGCACCTGCAAGCTGACGTTTGTGGGCTTCCCATATGGAAACCCAGTGTGGGTTTGCTGGCGTTTATTTAAAGTGCTTTAGAAACTGAGGGGATTTCAGAAGTTCTTTCCCACCTTCCCTACACCAAATCAAATGGCAAATGTTTCACTGCTGTAAAATAACGCAAGCAGTGGCCTTCATTCTAACTTTCTTCAGCCTCCTTTCCTGCCGTGAGCAGAGAGGAATAAAGCACTGGAGTAAATTCCTTGTAGATAATGTCATGCATGTAGGTAGGCTGAGTAGAGCTGCCCGTGATTTGGGCTGAGGGATTCCATTTGTGTGGGGTTCTGCAGTAATCCCAATTGTCTGGGGGGTTTTGGGGTGTATTTGGGCTTTTTTTGGAGGAGGTGTCAAAATCAAGCAATTAAAGGACTAAAAATGAGCAATAGGGCTTATAAAACTCTTTGCGTGTCCAGTCCTTGCAGTGCAGCAAGCTGGTGGTGGTATCTTTTAAACTGCAGCCAGCACTGCTGCTGTAACTATCATTTCCCATTTCATCTGCTTGGGGTATAAGGAACCTTCTGCATGAATTTGGCTGCTAACCTTAGCCTTGACCTTCAGAGAGATGTTGGCCACCTCCTGGTCCATCTCCTTTGCAATTCCAGTCAAAACAGTGTTATGTTTTGCTGGTGTAAGTGTGAGGGAGGGGGTAGCTGCTTGTGAGAGCGGAGTGGGAGGACCTGTGTAGGCTTCTGCAGAGAAAAAGCCCTAAAATGGGAAAGGGACTCTGTGTACGCTGTGTGCCTTCAGGTTTGTAACGAGCCACCACAGTGCAGAAGAAAATAGAGCTGTGACCATCTTCCAGGCATGGTTTCTGACATGTTCTGCGTGCTGAGCTGAGAGGAGCCCCAACACCAGGCCTCCAGCTAGTAACTATTGTGATCTTTTCCATCTTGACTTGAAATTTGCAATATAGGTTTGCCTTGGCTGATATTTCCAAGGCCTTAGAGGCTTAAGAACTACACGAGCTCAACCTGAGAAGCTGTCACAGTCTTCTTTAACTCACGTTGGCCTCATCCTGGTAACATGGGGAACCAGAGGCTTTCTTTGCTGATGAATAATGTGCTGGCAGGTTCTGCCTTGGTGCTGACAGCACTGGGAAGCAAGCCCGTGTGTCACTGGGCTCTCTGCTCCACAGCCCTAAGCTACAGCTGCAAAAGCACAGGTTGCACAGGAGACGTGCTTCCCCTCTATACCTTGCTGTCCCAGAGGAGCTGCTGCTTGTTGAGGGCTTTTCCTTATGATTCCTGCTTTCTTGGCCAGCCTTTGGGATGAAGCATGGCTTAGGGTGGGTTACAACTATTACATCTGCACGCACAAGCCAAGCGAGGAGCGACAGGCCTGTAAAAAGGGTGCTGTGTTCTCTTCCTGGCTGCATTACAAGGCAAAAGAAGTTCTCTTGCTGAAATGTGCTATGCAGGTGTTTTCCTCACACTTGGACTCCTGGTGTGGGCAGTCCAAAAGCATTCTGTGCGCTGAATGAAGTCTCCAAGGGGACAGGAACAAGGTGGCTTGTAGGTTTGCAGGTTGATGGGAACAGAGGGGTGAAATACCATTTCCTTTGTCAAAAGGTAGGTCATCTGGGGAGGCAGCGTGGGTCAAAAGCAGCTTTGCACGCTTCTGGTCTTTGGGTGTAGCTCTGTGTGCTCCCCAGGTGCTGGTAAACAGCATTTTTCCACTGACTCAGCTGGAGACCTGAGGGGTTCTCAGGCAACCTGGTCCCTGGTTACTGATGTCCCAGTCCTTGGCTGGAAAGCTTCCTTGTGTCTGCAGTGAATTTTGGTGCTTCAGCAGTGTTAAAAAGGCAACTTGTGAAGTCTTGGCTATTTCTGCTAAAAGGAAAAGTCTCCTGGGAAGCACTTTGGTGGAGGAGGAATATCCTGTCTGGGAAAGAGACATCTGTCTTCTCTGTTGCTTTAGAAGGGAGAGAAGAGGCCTGTGTTTTGCTGCAGCATAGAATCAACTAGGTTGGAAAAGACCTTTAAGATCACCGAATCCAACTGTTACCCCAGGACCACCAAATCATGTGAGCCTAGAAAAGAAATGAGATGTAAAAGAGACTGAAATGATGGATACTGTGGGGGAGATTTGAGTTGCAGGCCCAAGGAACTGCTTGAACCAGAGCTTTTGGAGTTAAAGTGTTGGGATTTACATCTCTCAGTCAAGCTGCGACTGGTCCCTCTCAATTCTGCTGAGCAACCCTGCTGAGGATGAGCGTTCCCTGGCCCAGGATGGGAGCTCTTGATGCAGTCACAGAGCCAGATGGCAAATGTCTCCACGTGATCCCCCAAAATATCTGCTGCGGTTAGGTACAGCTCCACACCCCCTTAAAAATAGTTGTCTGGATACTTGCTTTCCTGGGCAGGGAGGAAGTGGATGGGAATAATACATCAGGAACTTGAATGGTTGGTTGTCTGTGGTGATGTTATACTGATGAATCAGTGCCTTTTTACAAGTATATTGCAGTAAATGAGTCTTAGTTGAGGCTTTGTAGATGTCTTGCTCTGATCCATATAATAGCAGAACCCTGGAGAAATTCCCCTCAAAGTGTGCATGAGGATTACGTGCTGTGGGAAGCCAGCACTGCTGGCCTTGGAGTTTTGCAAGGTCAGGGTTAAAGGCAGTGGCATCATCCATACTGGAACTCTAAGGGTGCTCGAGTTCCCATTTGGAAGGTGCCTGGTGCTTCAGGGAGCTGAGGTGAATGCCCAGGAGGTATTTGAGTGTGGAGGAGAGTCAGGCTGCGATCTTACTGTTTCATTTGTGAAAAGAAACCCAACCAGTGTGATCCGATTGGATGCCTCAATCCAATGGGATTGCCCCAATATCCAGTTTTTGGGATACATGCTTTGTGTTACCCTCTGTACTTGCAATAAGGTGAGAGTGCTGAATTGCTCCAAGGTACAAAAGCATTGATGGGGTGCGTGTTTGAGCTGGGATTTTGTTAGTCATGGTGTATTCCCAGCAAAAGATGCAGGCTGTTTCTTCAGCTCTGTGAAAAGTCACTTTTTCCCTTAGTAGTATCCTTCTGAATGTGCTACTTGTAGTCTTTTCCCCTTAAAATATATAAGTTAGGGGATTCAGTTTAGTAACTGTCAGAATGTGTTTCAGATACATGCCTTGTGTGTGCTGCTGGCTAATGTCCACTTCAAAGCGTTCAATAGTGGGCCTTAGAAACCAGTGTAAAAATCAGCTTCAATTTGGCAGCTGTATGTTTTACTCTGTGCTGAAAGGATGGGCTCTGTGGGGAGGTGTCATCAAGAGCCTGGTCATGCACAACCTGTACTGAAGGGGGAAGGTGGTCCCCTGGGCTGCCTGAATGTGTGGTTGGGCTTAATTGCAGAGGGCTCACCCCAGTTCCAGTGTGGTTGGGTTGAAGGCATCACTTTGAAGTTCATTTTGTCACTTCTGGCTTCTGCCAAGTACCAGCTGCTAAGCAGCTGGCCAGTGCCATTTGGGTTAGGAATTAAACTATTTCTCCTCTTGGAATGGGATGTGGGATTCTTTTAATTTAGCTTTTCCTGCGTACCTTGTGAGGCAGGGCATGTGTGCTCTTCACTGCTGGGTAGGATACTGGCTCCTCTGTGGTGTGGTAGTCTGGTTTCTTGAGTGTACAAGCCAGGCAAACTGGTGAAGGATCCCCAGTGAGTTAAATGTTGAGGTGCCCCATGCGCTTTGGTGCCTTTAGCAGCACAGATTTTGCTGGGTTAGAGCATGTGCCGTGTCCCTGGATGTAGCCAGGAAGGAAAGGAAGGTGTTAATGGATTTAACTGTGTAAGAAGTTGTATAGTGTAGAGACTCGTATCATCTAGCCTCCCTTCTAAGCTTTATGCAACATGTCAGAAAATGGGTCTGGGATTGTACATGGGGGTGGCTCGTTTCTCTTTAGGTATACTTAAATATACTTCATCAGTATATTTAATGGCAGGGATTGCCCTCTGCAGTCATGGGGAGATGAGACTTCTGCAGTTGTTCTCCCAGGAAGGAGCTTTCCATGTTAAAACAAAATAGTTCCTGATTCAAGCAGTCCTGCAGCAGCCTTAGGAAGTTGCCAGTTCCTTAGTGTAAAAAAGCTTAGGTTTAGGATTCTGACTGGGGAGACGACAGGGTTTAACTCTCCAACACTGGTCTTGCAGAGCGTCCTAGTGGTGATGCATGAACAGGTTACCTCTGGTTGCAACTGCCGCAGTGACACTTTGGATCTAAGGAAAACCTCATGGCAGTGCATGTTCTCATTGTGTTGTGGCCCTTCTCCCCTTTGCGCAGGAGCTTGTCAGCAGTTGCAGAGAGCAGGTGGTAAGTTATAAATGTGCTGAAGACAAGCTGGAATCCACTTTGGGGTTAGCACTTGCTGCTTTCCAAGTTCACCCACCTGCATTAATCATGGCTAATAAGGGCAGGACTGACTAGGTGCTGCACACTCGCATTGCAGCTGGAAGCTGCTTCCTTGGAAGGTGGCTTTTCCCAGTGCAAATAGTGATTTGGACAGACTGAGGCTGTGCTTGTTGGAACAGCAGCCGCAGGACTCACTGCTGCTCTGAGAAGTCGCAACCAATTTACCTTTCTTTGTACTAAGTAAGTGTTTACTCGTGTTTCACATGTGGAAGGAGATGGGAACTCTCTGAGGAAAAACATGCCATAAGCAAACTGAGTTTATGGAGGAGTTCTCTTTTGGTAACAAGAGGTAACCAAACCAGTTGTTTCCAGGAAAGGATGAAGGGAAGCACAGGATACCCTCTGGATACCATACTGGAATAACACCTCCTTAAACCAGGTACTGGCTGTTGTACTTTCCTGAATGTAGGAGCGATACGGACAGAGGTTTACAAGCGCAAGGAAA